GTACTTAAGAACATATGAATATGAATCAGTTAAATATTACATAAATAATTAAAAAAAAGTTACCTCGTCCCCACACACTTATTTCGTATTACGTCAGCTTGGCCTTAACAGTATTTAACGATTTAGCACCTTGTTCATCATGTGGCAAGTTATTCCAAGTTAAGGCCCCTCGATATTCAAAAGATCTTGTCATAGTCTAAGTCTTTGGTCTTATTGTTTTCACATTATATAGACTTGAACGTGTATTGTATGTATGGTCAGTAAATATAAACCTTTCTACTAAATATTCAGGAACTTGTTTTGAGACAATCTTATGCATCATAATTGCTACATTATTTTTTCTGTTATTGTCAAGTGTTTTCCAATTTAGTCTTGTTAAATTTTCATCTGATGAGGAATATCAAGAGGACTGTTAATTATGCGTGCTGCTCTATTATGATTTTTTTCAAATTTGTTTTTCTGTGTACTTCCACATCCACCCCATACTACATCACAATAATTTAAGTGAGACAATACTAGTGAATTATAAACCAATTTCATTTCATATTCATTCACTATATTTCTTATAGATTTGATCATATATAATCCGTTGCTTGCTTTTTTATGAATAGTATTGATATGTTCCTGCCATGATAACCTTTCATCTAAAATTACCCCAAGGTGTCTACACTTACTTACTCGAGTTAACAAAGTATTATCTATAGTAATGTTTAAATCAGTATCTTTAACTTTACCCAGACGTTGTTTCGTACCGAATAAAATGTATTCAGTTTTCTTTATATTCAAAATTCAGTTTCTTTTGTATCAACCACTTTTTAACATATTCAAGATCTTCATTTATCTTCTTATTTGATATTAAAGTATTATTTGCCGAACAATATATTACCGTATCATCAGCATACATGCTAACTTTACAGGTCGGGTGACATCCAAATATAAGTTGAATTCTGTTGATGTGCAGGACTGCATACAACTCATATTTTGTTTTTCAAACATCTAAATATATTTCATACATTTTTAAACATTTCAAAAAATAATTTTCTCAGACTCGGACCTGCTAAGCTCCACCCTAAAGAAATGTTCCAGATCTCATTCATCGTGTGACATCACCTGTCAATCATTAGTAAGCTAACAAGAGACAGTGGTATGTAATTTTTTGGGGGGTGGAGCTTAGCAGGTCCAAGTCTGAGAAAATTATTTTTGAAATATTTAAAAATCTATGAAATATAGTTAGATATTTGAATAACAAAATATGAGTAGTATGCAGCCCTGCACATCAACATGAATTAATTAATTTATTTATTCGGTTTAAAAACATCAACACGTAAAGTTCAGGAACTCATAATGGTTGATTTACAATGAAATTGAATAGTGTAAACAAAATTGAACCAAAATATATACTTTTAAGAAAAAACTTGTTCTTTTACACACATGAAAATATGGTTACAATACAATATTCAACGGCTGGCTACATGTAGCTAGACCAAGGCGAGATATGACGAGGAAATTGAAAAGAAGAGAAATGACAAGAGAAAGAGAGAGAGAGAGAGAGAAAGGGAGAGGGAGAAAGAGAGGGACAGGAAAGGGGAGGGTAGAAAGAAAGAGAGATGGGAGAGGGAAAGAGAGGGGAGGGAGTTACGGAGGGGAAGTGAGGGAGAGAAAAGGAAGAGAGAGGAAGAGAGATGAAGATAGAAAGAGAGAAAGAGAGATAGGGATAGAGAGAGAGGTATGGAGAGAGAAAGGGGTGGGGAGAGGGAAAGAGAGAGAAGAGAGAGAGAAAAGAGGGAGAGAGAGAGAGGGAAGGGGATAGAAGAGAGAGAGAGAGAGAGGTAAGGAGAGAGGAAGAGAGACGTGGAGAGAGAGAGATCTTTAAAAAGCAAAATAAGAAACCAGGTAGAAAAACGTAACATTAAAACATTATACATTTCTTATACACATCTACAAGGAGAAGGCGCACCAAAGCGTTCAGAAAAGACAACAATGGATTGGCCTGCAATGCTTTGTTGCGTCCGCTCCGAAGGCCACGGTTATTATCTGGATTTTATATCACCCCACCTTTAAATGACAATCGTTACGTATGTGGATATTACAGCATTCATGTAACAATGCTTGATGTAATGGGTGCACATATATAATGAGAAATGTAACCACGGCTGTCGAAACAATTGACTGTTGTTTATTCATGTTTTTAGCAACCAATTCTTCTTTAAACATATTTATTTGCACTCTTCTTTGTTAAGATTTCCGTCCAGACTCGTCATTATTTGCGAAGCCAGCTTGAGCCCCCCCCCCCCGCCCCTAGGGCGTCAAACATATTGCCACGCCTTCCTTGTATTTACATGTAGCCTTGCCGAGCCCTTTTATCTTAAATGACAAATGTTTTTATGTGTATATTGTAACATCATTCGTATAACAATGCATGAGGTAACGGGTGCACATTTATGAGAAATGTAACATCGGCTGTCGAGAAAACGATGATATTATTATCGAGCTCGACAGGGACATTTTCGTACCATTTCTTTTCTCCTTGTAGGGGGGGGGGTGGGGTTGATTGTGCAATATCCCTTTTAATCTTTACTAATATATAATAAACTTTATATTTGTAAAGCGCTTAGAGACATTTGTTGTAAGCACTATATCAAAGCTAAATATTATTATTATTATTATAAGGCATGTTCATTTACAGTTTTGAAAAAAGCGACCGCGGTGTAGGCCTACTTACATTTGGACTATACATTGTTCTTGTACATCAAATTTTTTTTTATCTCTGCATCCTGATTGCGATTATTGAGATATTGATTAAAGAAATATTTATGATTAATTCTGACAAAAAAATCACGAGAGCCTTTATTTTCTTACACATTTCCACCACTCTATCTTGTTTATGTTGTTATTGCTTGCTTGTCAGAATTTTTCTTAAATACTTGTGCCCCCCCCCCCCCCTAGAGAATATTGGAGTCGCCACTCTACAGTCTAAATACTAATGAATTTGCCAACATAAGGCATCATATAACTTTTAAAAACATGTGAGAAGTCTTTCCATATAGACCTACTTCGATATTTATTTATTCTCATGCCTTGCAGCTGAGATGACCAATCCGGCTAAAAAAGGCCCTATGCCTGATATCTTGAGGAGTGACCAAGCTCCTTGCTTATCAAGATCAATTACTAGGCCTGATATATTTTACGGAGAAGGGACTGATCAGTTAACATTGAAAGAAATTGAAATCATTATTCATCCGCATACCCTTATTTTCTTTGCACACCCCTACAACCATACCCTTGCAAACACACAGATCAACTCCGTCTCATACTCGAGTCGCACCACCTGGCGGGGGGGGGGGGGGGGGGGGGCTATATGGTATAGCATTGTCTTGCCGTCGAAGCTTGATGCTCCCTAGGAAACATGTATATTATGTGTTATGTAACATATACATGTATTTTTTTTACAGATTATGCTATAGGGTAGGGAGGCGAAATTGAAAATAATTTATTCACGTTTGAGTTGCGAATAATTAGGGAATAAAGACACCAATGCAACCTCTTACTTAATTAAAATCTGACCTATATTCATACCCTGGAGCCAATCTAATGTTTTGTTCAGTCTATTGTATGAGAGGGGTATTCAGAAGGGATTAGCGGTGCCAACCAGGGCTAGGAACCGGGGTTGCTTTTTGTTGCTCTAACTCGGTCACCGTGACAATCAATCCCTCTTTTCTTATTATATGAATGTAGATCCACGTGATTTACATAGTGTCTCAGAGCAATTTGTATTTCATCCAGACATCAGACAATTTTTAACACCAATTTAGAATTTTCATCTCTCAATTGCTTGTAACCACGGAGAAAAGCAAATGGTCAAGAGAAAACTCTTCGGCCTGTGCTATTCGATTGTTTACGCTGGTCGCATAGCAATACGTTTAACTCCACTAAACATACACTTTCACTGGAAGCCATATTTGAACAGGCAGTGATTGAGGGACACAGATTATCGATCGTTTACATGCGGGAGGTGGCCATGGGGTGATCGACGACTCGTTGTAACAACGCCATGTATGTTTCCTAGCTTACGCTCTGGATTGTCGAAAATTAGGAGGAGGTGTTTGATTCTATTCGATATTTGATATTTTTCTCTAGCTAGAAATGCTATTGGGTCCATTTTAACACATATTTTGTTAATTCAAATTACATTTATACACCTACTACAGACAGAGACTGGAAACGAAGGTAAAATTGCATTATACAATGCTTTTTGTCAACACACTCACATTATTATTTATTTATTTGAAAAAGATATCACCTACAAAATTCCAACATATATGATATTGACCTAAACCTGAGTTAAAGAAACATAATCTCATTTTGTCTTCAATCGCGTCTCACGATTGCATAAAAATAAATAAAAATAATTTTAGTCGTTTAATGAAATAAACACATACATGTATTCAGTTTGAATATAACGTAGTGGCCGATGCAGGGTGTTTCTTTTTCTGCAGGGGGCACAAGTCCAGAATATGTTGAAAAGGGAAAAAAAGTTTAATATCCTGCATCCAAAATGTGTTTGTTTTTAATTGGTTGAGAGCTCGTCACGTGACCAGAAATATTTCAACTATTTTAAGGTTGCTCTGAACAAATACAAGTTGGGAGTACTATTTGGGAGTAGAAGTACTACATGTATTTTGGAGTACATTTGGGAGTCGAAATTTTGTTAAGATTTGATTTTTTTAAATAAATTTTTAATGCAGGATATAAAACAAATATACCATGCCTTCTTTTCGAGGTACTAGTTAAAATTGTTGACAGTGTATATTTGTATACTAATATTTCACGTACCGCCTTACTCTACGATTTTGGCGAGGGCACACGAAATCAAAATTAAGTGCATTACTCTGTTAGTTTTGCTTTCCCCTTCATTGACCAATTTACAGGTTAAATAGTATTAACGAAGATCTTTCCACATCGCAAATCGCTTACATTTATAATCTATCTTGTTTTTGCAGGTGAGGTATCTCGTGCATTGTGCAACAGTTTCAACCTGTTAGCCTTGTGACCCACAGTCACAATCACCATCTTCTTCCACGATGAAGGCACTTGTGGTGGTTGTAATTTTCTCTTGTCTGGTCGCCGGGGCAGCCCGAGCTGAGGAGTCCACCGAATGGCAGGTCGAATGGACCACGGAACCAGCGTACAACCTCAGCCTCGTCGAACCGTTCACCGTCCCCGGATATCTTCTACCAGACCTTAACATAAGTGACATCATATCTACAGTAGGCATGATGTACCAAGCTGAAGATCTCGTCCATGCGATCGGTTCCCTGTGCGTTGAGATAGGGCCAAAGCTTAGCTGGCTTTCCGATGGAGCAATGCAAGAGCTTTGTGATCCTGTCCTTGAGGCTCTCCGGAATGGATCCTATGCTGAAGCCTACTCTATTTGTCAGAATTCTTGGTCCTTTCTTGAAACACTCATTGGAGGTGAAGAAGGTGGACTTGAAGGTGAAGGTGAGATTGACCACGGTCCAATAAGACGAAAGCGTTGGGGATTGTCAGTTCCCTCGATTGAACTTCCGCCTCTCCCATCGTCTCCCATACAAGCTGTTCTGAACATAACTGTCCCGTTTTCACCACTCGAAGATTTGGATTTTAACTGGACCAACCCTTTATTCGATGATACTGCGAACATGGTCGAGAATATTGGACTCATCCCAGACTTGAATAGAAATTGGTCGTTTCCAATATTCGACGGTACAGGTATTGAAGTTGATTTCCCATATCCCGAATTTTCCGACAAGTATGGGATATGTTCAAGTCTGGCGGGGCTCATTTCATACAACCAGCCATCATCTCCCAGTCATGGCAGTATCTTTGGAGTGGTTCTAAACGTCATTGTTGCCGAACAGGTTAGATCAATCCCTGGTAAATGTCTGTCTTTCTTTGACGGTGAAGAGGGTAGTGGTGACATTGACGACGATCCGTCCTTCAAACACGAACCTGGTGCAATGATATGGGCATTCGCAACGCTTGGTGGCTTCGATGATATTGAGCAGATCTGCAATGTTTCTAGTTGGGCGCTTCTTATGAGAGATGAGGGGAAGTTTGAACTGTTCAATGAACTCGTAAACCAAATAACTACAAGCATTTACAGTGTCATTAGCAGCAGAAGCCGGTGTATTGAATTTGCAGATAGCCTCCATGCTAATATTGGCCTAGCACCAGGAAACTACTCTCATTTCACCAGTAGTGAAGCGCTTTGTGATGAAATACTGGATTCTCTCTATTGGAGAGGCAATATGAGCGAGATCGATTTTTACAATTATGATAGTATGGATGAAAAAGATGCTTTCATTTATCTGCTCTCTATTGTAGAAATACTTTCCCATAAATCGGACATGGCATCCCTTGAATTTCTCTGCCGAATGTCTCCGTATGCTGATGAAATGTTCTGTACTTCCTTGGCATACAATGACTACAGGGATGTTTCAAGGGAAGACATTATTGAGCATTGTCTGAGATACGTGGCATTTGATGGCTTTGAATTTGATTTCCTAGCCCTTCTCAACGCAATTGGCGCCGAATTCGAGTTCGACTTTTACGACTTCGATCAAACTTGCTCACACCTCACTGATATCGTCTTTAATAGCGTAATCAGACAACAATTTACAATCGACAACATGATCCAGAAGGGGATGAAAGCTATTGGTAGGGTCCTATCACCAATCTTCTGTGATTTGCACTCATTCCGAAACGGTTCGCTTGATTCCTTGGAAGCCCCATGCGGAACTCCGGGACGAGGTTGCTTCAACTGGACAAGACCAGGCGAGGACTACTTCTTTGATCGTTTGGATGAAGGCTTTATTGTCGGGACCATCTTCAGCTATCTCGGAGGCTACAGGGATGGAGATCACATCTGCCACCAGATGGCCTTTGCACTGGATGATGAGACAGTACTCGATATGGTGGCTGGTAAATTGCGGGACAGTGTCTACAGACTGTTCGATGATGTACCATTCTGTTCTGACACAATCGGCCTCATCGAAAAACTCATAGGTGTCGACGAACATGCTGCTCAGATGATCGGCTTCAATAGTACGGATGCCTTCTGCGGGGAAATATCCAAAATCTACCATCAGGGCGGCAACTATAACTTTAGTTTTGTACCTCTCTTAGACCTCTTTACAAACCATAGTCACGGACTGGAACACTTTGTTACGTCTGAGTCTATAATGCACGTCACGACTGAGATGATGAAATTCGCTGCCATGATAATGCACTCGGACAACATTGGAGATGCCATTTCCAAATCGTGTTACATGTGGCAGGACTCTGGTCCAGGGATTACTATGCCTTTATTTGAGGTTGATGATTTATGTCAAGTTGTCTTGGCCCTTAATCCTGCAGAACTCCAAGATGTCTGCATCCATGACATAATTCCGTGGATTGAGGACCTTTTTGATCACCATCATGATGATGAAGAAAGGGGAGAAGAAAACGAAATTGACTTTGATTTCACAGGGATTTTGGAAACGGTAGGCGAAGAATTCGGATTCGACTTTCACGATTCTCACCAAAGTTGCTCTCATCTTACTGGTATTCTCTTTGATGATACCGTCAGCCAAAACTTTCCAATCGACAGCGTTGTGGTAAGGGGAATAAGAGCTGTTGGTAAGATAGTATCACCCATATTCTGTGATTTTGAATCATTCTATGACCTCCCAGCGAGTCACTTGGAAGCTCCGTGCGCAACTCCTGGACAAAATTGCTTTGATTGGTCAAGCCGAGGAGAAGACTTCTTCTATGAGCGAGAAGATATTGGCTTTGTCATTGGTACAATTTTCAGTTATATTGGAGGCTACAGAGATGGGGACCACCTTTGTCACCAAATGGCCTTTGCACTGGAGGATGATGCACAACTTGACATGGTCGCAAATAAAATGAAGGATAGTATCTTTCGATTCTTCAACGACCCGTCATTCTGTCCTGTGACGATGGACCTTATCAACAGGCTCATCGGATTTGACGAGGATGCTGCAAGTTTACTCGGCTTTGAGAATGCGGATGCCTTCTGCGGGAAGGTCAATCAAATATACAATGAAGATGGCGATTATAACGTCAGTTTGGAGCCTCTCTATGTTTTGTTTGCCAATGTTGAAGAAGAAGGAGAATTTGACCCTGCAGCCATTATAAATGCCACAACCGAGATGATTAAATTCGCCGCCATGATCATGCGTTCAGACCACATTGGGGATGCCATTTCTAAAACATGCTACGTGTGGCAGGAATCTGCTGCAATGTTAAATATTTCAGAGGTTGACGATTTATGTAAAACAGTATTGGCCTTTAATTCTGCAGAACTCCAAGATGTCTGCATCCACGAACTATTTCCGTGGATTGAGGATGTTTTTGACCACCATGAGGATGATGAAATGAGGGAAGAAGAAAACGAAATTGACTTTGATTTCACAGGGATTCTCGAAACGGTAGGCGAGGAATTCGGATTCGACTTTCACGATTCTCACCAAAGTTGCTCTCATCTTACTGGTATTCTCTTTGATGATACCGTCAGCCAAAACTTTCCAATCGACAGCGTTGTGGTAAGGGGAATAAGAGCTGTTGGTAAGATAGTATCACCCATATTCTGTGATTTTGAATCATTTCATGACCACCCAGATACTGTCTTGGAAGCTCCGTGTGCAACTCCTGGACAAAACTGCTTTGATTGGTCAAGCCGAGGAGAAGACTTCTTCTATGAGCGAGAAGACATTGGCTTTGTCATTGGTACAATTTTCAGTTATATCGGAGGCTACAGAGATGGGGACCACCTTTGTCACCAAATGGCCTTTGCACTGGATGATGATGAACAACTTGACATGGTAGCAAATAAAATGAAGGATAGTATCTTCCGATTCTTCAACGACCCATCATTCTGTCCTGCGACGATGGACATTATCAACAAGCTCATCGGATTTGACGAGGATGCTGCAAGTTTACTCGGCTTTGAGAATGCGGATGCCTTCTGCGGGAAGGTCAATCAAATATACAATGAAGATGGCGATTATAACGTCAGTTTGGAACCTCTCTATGTTTTGTTTGCCGATGTTGAAGAAGAAGGAAACTTTGACCCTGCAGCCATCATGAATGCCACAACCGAGATGATTAAATTCGCCGCCATGATCATGCGTTCAGACCACATTGGAGATGCCATTTCTAAAACATGCTACGTGTGGCAGGAATCTGCTGCAATGTTAAATATTTCAGAGGTTGACGATTTATGTCAAACAGTATTGGCCTTTAATTCTGCAGAACTCCAAGATGTCTGCATCCACGAACTATTTCCCTGGATTGAGGACGTTTTTGACCACCATGATGATGATGAAATGAGGGAAGAAGAAAACGAAATTGACTTTGATTTCACAGGGATTCTCGAAACGGTAGGCGAGGAATTCGGATTCGACTTACACGATTCTCACCAAAGTTGCTCTCATCTTACTGGTATTCTCTTTGATGATACCGTCAGCCAAAACTTTCCAATCGACAGCGTTGTAGTAAGGGGAATAAGAGCTGTTGGTAAGATAGTATCACCCATATTCTGTGATTTTGAATCATTTCATGACCACCCAGATACTGTCTTGGAAGCTCCGTGTGCAACTCCTGGACAAAACTGCTTTGATTGGTCAAGCCGAGGAGAAGACTTCTTCTATGAGCGGGAAGACATTGGCTTTGTCATTGGTACAATTTTCAGTTATATTGGGGGCTACAGAGATGGGGACCACCTTTGTCACCAAATGGCCTTTGCACTGGAGGATGATGCACAACTTGACATGGTCGCAAATAAAATGAAGGATAGTATCTTTCGATTCTTCAACGACCCGTCATTCTGTCCTGTGACGATGGACATTATTAACAGGCTCATCGGATTTGACGAGGATGCTGCAAGTTTACTCGGCTTTGAGAATGCGGATGCCTTCTGCGGAAAGGTCAATCAAATATACAATGAAGATGGCGATTATAACGTCAGTTTTGAGCCTCTCTATGTTTTGTTTGCCAATGTTGAAGAAGAAGGAGAATTTGACCCTGCAGCCATTATAAATGCCACAACCGAGATGATTAAATTCGCCGCCATGATCATGCGTTCAGACCACATTGGAGATGCCATTTCTAAAACATGCTACGTGTGGCAGGAATCTGCTGCAATGTTAAATATTTCAGAGATTGATGATTTATGTCAATTGGTTCTTGAGGACAATTCCGATGCTGTTTACCAAGTCTGCATGGGTGAACTTTTCCCACTTATTGAGTCAATTCTAGAAGACGAGATGTATGATTTCAATGATAATCATACAAACACCGTTGTAGATTTATCGAACATTGAGATCTGTCTCGATAATGGCGAGGTGACTTTTGAGGCACTTGAAAATTTAGATATATTGGCATATCTACTACAAACCACACACAAGCTCTATAATTTAACCGTGTTCGACGAGAGCAACATTTGTAGAGCAGTGACCAGCGTAGTAGAATCTAGAAATGACATTCCGACACTGATATCTGAATTTGCTGTGGAAATGATGTCCCTCTTCATGCCGCTTGGTGCAGAAATATGCTCTTGTTGGGATCAAGTTTTTGATGATCTCTTCTCGGACTCCGACGACTCGGAATTTGGCGTAAACCAATTCAATGAGATAGTCCGGATTGCTGTGAACAGTATTGGATTAGACAGTCGTCATGAACTCTGTGACCATCTCATTCATCTAAAGCCGGACAACATGTCTGATTACGCACAAACGGTGATTGAGGAAATCCTTGGTTTTACGGCTGATCCTGAGAAGTGTGCCTGTACCGCCAATCGTGTCATCGATTTCATCCTTCCCTTGGTTAATGTTTCAATGGAGGAAATCAATAACTACCTTTACCAGTACCTGGGATACCATTCTGTGGATCACGTGTGTAGTTTCGTGGCCCAATCCTTCTCGGGAGTAATAGGTATGTCACATCAGAAAGCAAAGTTTATCTTTTGTATATACAGCCGTGTTGTTCAGCAGTTCAGTCGAAGATATTCATTTAAAAAAGAAATCCATTTCGGCTGAAGTAAACAATAAATAGGCATATTTTTCGTGCAAATCACGTAACAAATTAAGAGAATCCCAAATCATTTTCTTTATAATGGCTTCTGACTGAGAAATATTGCACACCACGTCATAATGCCAAGGACCCACAATCTGGAACAAACTACCTCCACAAACTTAAACAATGTGCATCTTTATACAATTGTAAACATAATCTAAAACATCACCTGCTGCAGAAGCTTTGAACTTTACGACCGCACCTTTTTATGTTTATAATTACTATTTTTATTGTATTATTTCTTTGTCCCTTTTTTTTTGGTGTGTTAATTTTTAGGATCGTCCACCTATAACTTTCTGTAATTTTTTTTTGATGAGCCAACCACTTCGTAAATTCCTTTAGTTTTTTTCCATTTTATTAGCTTATCTATGTTTGCAAGATATATTTAATTGTATTCTTTGACTTTGTATGTTTTTATGAAAGTGGTGAATAAATTTCCTTTAGCGGCTCTTTTTCTTCTGTCCTTAAAATCTTCTTAAAATCATTTAATCAAATAAATTGCGTTGTCAAAACCATTCTGTTCCACACGATCTTGTATGAAGAAAATGAGGGGCATATGTACACCCAAGCATTCAATTTACAAGCTTTAGAGATGTCCTGAAAATGTTAAAGACCTTTTGTATATTAACTTGTGTTTGAAGGACACGGAATTTGTCCTGCTTGTCGTAGGGTTGTGCACCACTGGGGGAAAACTTTGTCTAGTTACCATGTAGTATACCTCTGTCACTTTCACGAGAATACTGATTGTTTGTATGTTTATATTTAATTGTTTACGTTTCCTTGCAGTCGACCCTTCAAGCATAAACTGTAACAGCCAACAAGGTAATTATAAATTTTAATTGGGTACTTATCGACATAAGATTCCATTTACATCTGAGTTATGTTCACCCTTATTTAGAAGAAAAAAATTCAATTTAGCTTCCGTATCGTATTTTGGATTAAAAAAATATAGAGTCTGTGTCATGGCTGCACGTGATCGGCTATTTATATCATTATGTTTATGTAAAAGGATTTTTTTTTTTGGCACACCCCTCAATTCAATTTGTTTGTTCGTATATCACAGTTATGTCACTAAACATTCAAAATGGAAACAAAATTACTACTAGAAATGCAATCGTGTCAGAACGATGTGCGTGCAATGACGCCGTGTGTCTACGTGTCAAACGAAAGAGCTTCTCTCGGACTATCCAGAGCAATTTGCATGAAGTCTGTAGCTTCTGTGATATTGGAGATAGGTAGGGCGAAAGAAAGGCATCAACAGTGACCTTGATGGGATGGTACTATGCCTACGAAGTTTGAAAGAAATTGGGATAGGGGAAAGAACCTAGAAAGGGCTCGCAAGCACTGCGTGCACAAACCAATGGGATTTGGTGCATGTTTGACATTGCAATCAAGTTCGTTGTGGGGGCCAAAAGCGTGAACCCGATATGCCCCATAGACAATGCGTGTAATGAATGGGCGGAAAACGTGCAGGATCTGTATTATGGCCGGAGTTAAATTGTTTTTTCTCTCTCTCTTTACGTCTCTTTATGGGCCGTATTTGGTATCATTAGAAAGAGAATTTCATGGTTGTTATTGTAAACCACTCTCTTTTTTTCTATGATAATCCTATCGAAACACGTGATGTAAAATAGATGTATAGGACAAAATGGCGTCTTGAATGGCCCCCTTGACCAATTTCAAAAATCCGGCCAAGAGGTGCCCTGCGTATTGGAACTCGGCATGTCACTGCAAATTTTCAAGGAAAAAAAAGGACGTTTAAGGGGCGAAAAGCAGTCTGAAAAAATGACGTCATAGCCGAAACGTGTTAGGTTCGGGCGGAATTCGTGTAGTGATCTTTGTTCAAATGCGATTTACTCACAATTTTCTGTGTGAACATATATAATACTTGGTATCATCCGAAAGGGCTCTTCATTGCGGTCAGTTTGACACCATTGTTAACTGCGCGCAATGTATTGCGCGCATTGAACGCGCTATTACGTAATCCATAGTAAATACATCATTTTTGGCGATAACTTTGCGCTGACATATTTGAATTTTACCAAACTTGGTAAACAGTTGTCACGTATATGGATACATATATCTGCCAAGTTTCATTGATGTAGGTATAAAGATCGCCATTTTAAAGCAAGTTGAAGTTATTTTGGAATTTTTCTCGAAAATGGCAAATTTGGAGGGCATTTTTCTCAAATTTGGTCAGTGTAAGGGTATATAATTTTGTATAAGGCTGGAAAGGGCATATCTTCAAGTATCTAAATCCAAAAAAGGGTACGGGTTTGCCAAGCCATTATGGAGATACGGCCACAGAAAGAAAGCCAATTCCCAGAACTTTAGAGGGCGCTATTTATGTTTTGCATAGTCATTGGAGCATGAAATTTGGCATGGCTATGTGCAATTATAAGATAAGGATAATGTGAGATTTAAACACAAAACGGAATTTATATGAGAAAGTTATGGCAGTTTTAGATTTTTAGGGGTCCATTTTTCAAGAATTTGAGAGATTTTTGACGGAGTCAGTTTCAGATTTGAATTTTGAGTACGAAGATGGCATTTTGAAGGTCAGGTCATACGTCGCAGATGAAAGAACATCTATTAGACTATCTAGAGGAATTTGTTAGAAGTTTGTAGAATCTAGGATAGTGGAGATAGGAAGGAAGACAGAAAGGCCTTAAAATGGACCAAAAACGGACAAAATGGCGCCTGGACGGTTATGCATGAGTGATTTCGAAAATCAAAGAATGTAGTGACCTTGATGAGATGTTAGAGACCATGCCTATGAAATTTGAAAGGAAAAGGACATGATGAAAGCACCGAACCAGGAATAACAAACACTACGTGCAAAACGAATGCGATTTCCTGACGATAAGGATAAGGAACAGGAAAAGGAGGAAAAGGAGAATATTAATGGGGCAGAATGTGAACGAAAACAAGGCAATGACGAAGGTTCGTCATTGCAATAAGTTTATTCGAGGCAAAATTTATGTTTTACTAAACTAAACGAGATTCAAACTTCGAAGCCTTTTAGCGGATTGGTGAATGAAAAAATTATGGTTGCCAAAATGATCTGTGATTGACACCGGTCCTAGGATTTATTATGTTACTTATACAAATTGTCAATATTTTCATCTTGTTACCCACAGAACCAACAACCAAAGCTACGACCACAACTCAATCATCATTAGACAATAATGGAAACTCAACTCAATCATCAATAGACAATACTGGAAACTCAACTCAATCACCAATAGACAATACTGGAGACTCGAATGAAACTTCGACTGACGACGAAAGTAAGATACGTGTTTATCAAAAGTTATAGATGATGCTCCGAAACAGAAATACAAGATGTAATTCGATGTTATCATTCGGATGGTTTCTTCCTCCTCCTCCTCCTCTTCCTCTTCTTCTTTTTTCCTTCTTCTTCTTCTTCTTCTTCTTCATTTTCTTCTTTTCTCTTTCTCATTTGTTGTTACTGCCGAACACCCATAAAGCATGGACATGGCGCAGGACAGAGGTAGAGTGAGAGAAAGAGAGAGGGAGAGAAAGAGGAGAGAGGTAGAGAAAGAGGAGTGAGGAAAGGAAAGAGAGAGAGAGGGAGAGGGGAAGAAAGAGGAATGAGGAAAGGAAAGAGAGAGAGAGGGAGAGGGGGAGGGTGTGTGTGTGTGTGTGTGTGAGAGAGAGAAAGAGGAGTGAGGAAAGGAAAGAGAGGGAGGGAGAGGGGGAAGGTGTGTGTGTGAGAGAGAGAGAGAGAGAGAGAGAGGGGGGGGGGAGAGCGCGCGTGCGAGTAGAGGTGTCACCATTCTCATTCTGTTTCTTTTTCTTTCTTTGCATTTTCCATTGTGATAGGTAGTATTTATCGATTGATTTATTCAGTTTTTATAATGCCACCATGACACCAGAAGCTCGTCGGTGAGTCGACACTGTTTTAGAGATCAAGGCGCTACATTAATAATGTAAACATAGGCACCATCAGCCACACCACATAAATAATTCGTAATAACCTATGTACGTTCTTATTATGCAAATAGTTTGATTTGTTTAATAATTTTCATATGTTTTAATTTAATCATAACTTTTCTACCGATACTTTCAATTTGAGAACGTATATGTATAGGCGGTCATTCTCTCAAAACGAATGATCTGTACTGATTTTTCACAATTCTGCATGTGCTGATCAAGATTAATACGCATGTTTTTAAATTATTTATTTCGTTTGTTCAATCAGCCTGTCTCTTCATCACTGACTGCGCCGGTGTATGCAACGGTAACGCTAGTTTGGATTGCGCCCGAGAATGCGGCGGCAGCGCGGCACTCGACTGCGCCTTCAAGTGCGGTGGCTCTGCGACCACGAACGAATGTGGATGGTGCGTCGGTGGAGCTACGGAAAGACCAAGCACTTTAGGTTTCGACCAGTGTGGTTCCTGCATTGGGGAAGGCACTGCGGTCATCGACTGCAATGGTGACTGTGACGGTACTGCTTACCGCGATGCCTGTCAAGTCTGCGTAGGTGAGTATAATTTGGATAGATTTTGAAGTGGATTCTGAGAGTAAACTATGCATCATGCGCTCTAGACAGAAAAATCCGTCTGATTGGACGAGTTTTTTTATATCTAAGTTGCTGGTTGTCACTCCTCCAATGAAACCAGAATGATGTAGTCTCTGGGGAACATATCCAAGAACGAAATAAAATGCCTTTTCTGTCTACATTAGCTCCAGAGTCTCCATTGAATTTTCCTTTTGAAAATTGCTTATATACCAGCGTAAACAATTGAAACAACCGGACTTGTTCATGTGATTGTTCTTTTGTTGTTCTAGGAACTTTCATCATTTAAAAAGTTTGTTTTTTCTGACATTTCAATTTTGGTTTTGTGAATAGGCATATATACCTCCCAGTGGGAATCATTTCCATTGTTCCACAGCTCATATTTCATTTACGTGGGGTTGCATACAAACAAGTTGAGATCGCCCCGAACATATTTTTGCTTGTCAGAGTCCTCTGTCCCCTTAGCAAATTCGATCTTGCTAATATCCTGCCGGTGCATGTTAGGAGCTATTTCATTTGAATGTGCATATAGTTGACTATACATGTACATGTATATCGAGAGGATTATGTGTATTATTCGTCATTCTTCTCACCATCATCCTCTGTTCATCCTAATAACTGACTCTCACCCTCTATATTTTACCAAACAGGTGGCAATACGAGTGTGGCTGAGGATGTAAGCGATCGTTTCTTGGACTGCCTAGGTATCTGTAATGGTAGTTTTGTGACCAATGATTGTGATGAATGCGTGCTGCCATTCAGCGATGGGACTATTTTCTCCACGGCGGATTGTAACGGTGACTGCAATGGATGTAAGTTGAACACATCTTGAGCCCAAATTTAAAACATTGTGCAAGTAGGTTAATTGCTACTCGTTTTAATAAAAGGAAAATTGTTGTCAAAGTTGTTGATTATAAGGCTAATTCCCTATACATCACGAGATCATACCATACACACTAACAAATAAGGATGTAATCGGGGTGTAGATTTGCATCCACCTACACGTATTTGGCAGAGGGTGCTGCTATTTTAACAGAATTGTACCTTTATTTCTTAGTGTGTATTAAAGGTTGCAAAAGGATCTTGATAATGATTATATCCTTTAGTTTAGTAGGCCTAGTTAGATAAATAATAGCCCAAAATGACAGATTAGTAGTTTGTTTTTAATAATATGGACTATAAAGCAAAATGGGATGTATAAGATGTATGTGGTGTGTGAGAATGTGTGCGTGTGTGTGTGGGTATATGTGGGAGAAAGAGTGTATGTACGTGTGTGGGTTGTGCGTGTGGGTGCCTGTGTGTGTATTTGTGTGGGTTGGTGTCTGTGTGTGAGGGTGGGTGTGTGTGCTATGTATGGGTGTTTTTGTGGGTGTCTCTGTGTGTGTGTGTGAGAGAGGGAGAGAGAGTCTCGGTCTCGGTCTCGGTCTTACCCAAGAGGGAACACGAGGCAGAAGAAAATGAAGATGTGCTGAATTTTAGACAATTAAATACTGTACTACCTGTATTTTTTTTTAATAATCCCCATCACATCTATCTCCTTATCCGACCACTTTTCCTCCCAGTTGCCGACATAAATGAGTGTAGTTACTGTGTTGGGGGTAATACCGGTAACTCTGTGGATACTGGATTGTCTGCATGTGGAGTCTGCAATACTACGATCGAACCAGACTTCTGCCTCGGCTGTGATGGCGTCGCTGATAGGTTCGCATCTTATATTTCCGCTCCTTATAGCTAAACAAGAGTAAACTCTTCATACACCGTACTCGTTGCATCCATCTCTCTCTCTCTCTGCCTCCCTCCCCCTCTCTCTCTCTCTTTCTGTCTCTCTGTCTCTCTTTCTCTCTTTATATATGTATATTATATTAGGCTATATATATTTGTGTATCTCTTTTATATATCTATCCATATATATATATTATCTCTCTCCGCTCTCTCTCTCTCTATCTGTGTATCTATTTCTCTTTGTCCTTCTAACATTGTTCTATCTGCCCTCCTAGTTCTTTACTATCCTTATTGCCTTATTGAAACTTATTGAAAACGTGCACCGATCGTCCAACTGGCAACTGCACCTATAGGCCTACAACAAAATTCGTAAAACTTAGCCTGAGGAAATCTTGTTGAAATAAACAAATTTAACTATTAATCGCCAGAGTAAATTTAACTCCTTTTTAAACGAAACTAGTTTGGATTTTAACTCCTTTTAGAATGAAACGGAATTTCTAATCGAAATTGTCTACCTTTCAAAAGATATATTTGAATGCAATATAGTGCATTTGATTTTCATGTGTCATGTCCACATATACATCTACAAAAAATCAGTTTGGTTCAAAAGTGGATTTAGCCCCTTTTGGAATTAAGCTTTGTATATTATGCTGCTGATTTTGCTCTGTTAATACAACTTGCGGTTGAACTCTTTCGTCACCCTGTATCAGTATCATTTTATCGTTTTATGCAGTGGCCTAGTGACCGATGCGTGTGATGTATGCGATGGGGATGGTAGCACTTGTTTCACCGTGGACAATATAGCTCCCTCTATCATCCCAGCTAACACCGACTATCAGGTAGGAGTTCTGATTACATATCATTAGAAGTTCAGGGGGGATATGAGTAGCTCAGAGGCCAATCACATTGTAAAATGACAAATGAAGAGTGATAAAGAGAGGTGGAAAGAGTGAGAAAGAGAGAGAGAGAGATAAAGAGAGGGGGTACAGGCAGTGGCGGATCCAGAGGGAAAAAAAAATCATGTAAAAATCACGTGATTTTTACCTTTTTGGGGGGTTGGGAGGGAGCAAAAAAAAAGTTGGGCCCCTACCCTAAAAAATCCTGGATCCGCGCCTGGATAGAGGAGGCAAAGAGGAAAATAAAGAATGTAAGAAGATGACATGAACCAGTTCTCAGACTTTTTTTTTTTTGGGGGGGGGGGTATTATGACTAGACCAAGTTCACCATACGCCTCTTATTAAAAGGAATGTTTAACATGATATGTATTACACAATATTATTATATTTCATGTGACACAAATCCTAGGATGAACATCAACTGACAAAAAATAGTTTACAAATTGGTCAGAAATTATTTGAAAAGGAAAACAGCAATACTATGCAATTTTTCTCTTTGTGTTTGATATTTATCAATGATGTAGACGGTTTCAGTTTCAATGAAAAAATGGTGGTGTGCATGTATAACAAAGTCTGAATAAGATGTTTTTTATCTTTTGAACTTTGGCAGGTTAAACTTCGTGGTGCCGGATTCCAAGATGCGACTACCAAACAGTGTAAGTTCCTGGATAGCAGCGGTGAGCAGGTCAGCGTGGTCGATATCAGCGATGAGGTGGATGACGAGTTCAACTGCACCGCTAATCTTCCTCAAGGTTTGTGGCTAACATGGATCTCATTTGATTTTCACTTTGTAGGTCTAATTTAGAAAAATAAAATACAGAACAAATTTTCGTCTCATGCCGTGCATTTTTTTACTCGTCTAATACGTTTACCTTGCCAATATATCTGCTCACTGCACGAACAAGCCTCGAGATTCATTAGGTTAAAATATGGTTGCACTGATATTCAAATATTAACTGCATTGGTGTAAATGGTGTTTGTTCTCTTTTTCCTGTAAAGCACAACTTTGCTGTCATTTTTATTTTTGTATTAATGGTTATTTAATTGTCATACAATTTCCAGATCAAGATTTCATAATTATTTATTTTTCAGGAACGTATTCTGTTTACCTTTCGACGGAGTCAACGGAACTATCAGAAGCATTCGTCACCCTCTATGTCTATTCAGGTACAAACATTGATGTCGCAATTCTGCATGTATAACATGCAATACCCGTAACTGTATTTTGGAGACGGCCATGATTTGTTGCATTCAATAAAGGGACCCATGTTACCCAATGCCTTTAAAACCTAGAGGAGAAATCAAAATATTATAATGAACTATTACAAAGAATATTAGTATTTTGTATTAATGATTCTGGTAAGTATATTACAGAAGGAATTGGGATGGCGTAAAGAAAATGATTGCCACTTCATAGTCTGGACTTTGGAAACAAATGAAGAATAATGAAAATGAAAATGATAAAGATGATAAATCAGTAAAGATCATCTTCTGTATCAGCTATGAAGTGGTATTATAGTCACTGCCATGTGCCGATGATATAATATATATATATATATATATATATATATATATATATATATATAAATTTGTTTATTTCTGCAGAAGTTATAATAAACAGCTTATCCCAGAGCGAGTTTGATATAGATGATAGTGTGATTTCCATCTCTGTCAACATGGTATCAACAAGCGGAGCCTTTACGGCATACAAGGACTTGACCACTCCAAAAGCTATCGTCTTCACAGGTGAGTTCATCCATTTTGTGAATCTTTTCACGACTACAGAATGGAAGATTAACATATTAATAATAATAATAATAATAGTGGGTTCTTGTATAGCGCTCATGTCAGTCAGATTTGACCCTCCTGGCGCTCCCGATTATTACCCTGGCTTTAGCACGACTGCCATACGGCGCTCTAGCATTTCAAGAAAAAAAGAAATATAATACACATACTCTTGTACATCTGGTAAACTTTGCCAAGGATTGAAAATATGCCATGAAATATTTTCTACCGACATCATAAACAATGGTAGTGCCACATTTCTCTCCTCCGTTTGAAGGTCGAGAAAAAAAATCAGAACAACTTGTAGTGGATCTAGAACACACGTGCCTTCTGAGATACATTACTGGCCAATGTCACACCCCTTAACAATCTATGGATATTTTACTGCAATTTACTGATACGAGACTTGGAAAGCAGCCTCATTGGTATGATTAGAATTGACATGATATTCTGAATGAGTTTATTTCTTGCATGTGAATGATAACATATATGTAGCTTGATAAGCTTAAGAATTTATCAATAGCTTTCAAGGCATTTCTCCCTTGTTAAAACACTGATGCTTGCTCAAAGAAATGCGTCTATTCCTTTTTTACTCTCTGACCCTCTCCCGTATTACACCAAATTCGTTTGCCCATTTTCTCCTGACCAACAGAGACCGAGAGACTTTACTACGAAGGAACTTTTGGAGGAGACAACGACGAGCTTCTCGAGTTTACGGGTCCGATGCTGACTACCTCGGCTCAAGTTGTCGTTTACCCGTCCTTCAACGGAATCGACTACCTGGTCACCCCCGATGATGCTGGTTTCACGATCACCTACTACGCCCCTGCACCGGTCGCTCAGAGTCTTAAATTCTCCCCTACTGGTAATTATTTTGTAAGACTCATTCACGCTAGCGGCGGTTAACCCCTATAGAACACACAAAAACCGCGGCGGGAAAATGAGATCATTAGACTTTTCTGTATCTATTGAAGAATAGCAAGGAATATAGACAGACATACTAAAGCTTTTCGTCTTGCACTCATGCATTTTAGCTTCCGCTTGTATTTTCCGATTTCGGCCTTCTGCTCACTCTTGCGATTTACACTGATGAGTGCAGATCATCAGATGAACAGCTTTACTACTGTTCGTCTGTATTCGTTGCTATTCTTTGATTTTGTAGTACATTTCTGTATGATGGAGCCAGGGGCATATCCAGCCGGCGGCGAGGGAGGGGCCCAATTCGTGAGAAAATATTTAGAGACGACTCAGCCGACCAGCCGAATAAGTGGGGAGGGATGGGGGGGGGGGGGGGGTGAGCACTATGTTTTTACCCCCAAATGCCTCTTGTCATTCATCGAAATACAAGTATAGGCACGGTGGAATTTTTTGGAAAAGGCAATATAAAGTGTCGTGTCCCAACAGTGCTTCTCACATACACTGTACCTCTTTTTTTATAACTGTAAAAGCGGTTAACACGCCCTACAAACCCATTTTGAACACCTTGAAAATCACGAAACCACCATCTACAATTTAAACGATGGTTTGAGACAAACTGATATGCAGTATAATATTCGTTGCATTGTTAACACTCTAGCAAATAATATCAAATATTTAAAGTGAATTAGGATACCCTTTGTAATGATCGCAGTGTAAAATTGTGATTCTAGTTTGCGACTTCATTGATATCAAAAACTCTGAGACAGAAATGTATGTTTACTTTCAATCTTTTTTCCCCCAGGACATCTTCTGGAACTCGAGTTCGACGTCGCAATCAACGAAGACTCGGTGACATCATGTGATGCAGTATTCATGAATATCACCAGCCTGGGTGGTGCTGCTGCCCAGTGCTTTGCATTCCCTTACCTAAAAACTATCTATATACTACCCTTCAGTTCGGCCAGTGTAAATCTTATTGGACCAGGTAAAGAATATAATTACATTAGAAGTTTATGACAAAGTATACATACAAAGTTGCCTTGCACAGTAAGATAACAAGTAAAAACAGACTGGATGAATTACGTCTTTGACAAAAATGGCTAATTTAGAGATTTATACTTCTCCAAGTAGTTTAAGAAGAGTTCTTCATAGGGATATATTCTTGTTTGCCATAAACTGGCATCGCTAAACCAATTTCAGTTGTAATATTGCACCGAATTCATAGATAGGTTCCCTGACATTTTCTCATATAAAACATCAAAGTAACATTTTATTTGCCGATATATACCGAAATGATTTACAAATTTGTCGACAAACTCGATTCAAGTTGGGCACACTCTATATCCTTATTTCTATTAAATCCCCCTATGATAACATTATTACTTATCATTCTAACGAAGGGTAATTTTTCAAAAAGTAAAAGAAGAATTATGTTTAGATTTTAACGATGATAGATAATCAGAATTCGAAGATCAATTATTCATTCTCTAACTCTTTATATTCCCCAGATGATGAGCTAGTGCTGCGCGCTGACGTTCTGAAAAAACGTGATGAGGAATACGCTCGGTACGCCAGCGGTACTCTTACCGCATCCTCCCCCGACGAGGCGGTAACCGTCTACGCGGCTCTGACCGGTACAGAAGCAATTAGCAGCTGCGGTAATGTACGACTTAGTGCTCTGCAATCCTTTGGAAACGCAGGACGTTTTTTCACCTATCAGTGGTCTGTGACCAGTGGCGGTTCGATCCCATCTGGCTTGACGGATGATCTAACAGGTTAGACAGTTGGTGTTGATTAGTCAGTTATGCAGTTAATCAGGCAGTAAGGCAGTTGGTTAGCTAGTTTGGTAGTTAGTTCATTGTTTATAGTTAGGTTGTTAATTAGTCTGTAAATTTCATACTTGCAGACTTTTATCTTTTGCTTATTAAAGTTCTAATGTTCTCGAACAACTTCGTGTTATATTGTGGGCAGATTAATTCTTATCCTCGTTATTATCTGATATGATGATAGTTTATTGCACCATTTGCACGTTCAACCATTTTAGATATAACCCGACTATGAAATAAACATAATCCATGAGAATCCATACTCTTTTACAAAACTTTTAGTCAATACATTATGTGATACATGTACTTCCTTTCAACCTTTTCCAATCCTTTTTTCTTCTTTCTCTATTCCTAATTTCTTGAATTGCATTAAAATAGACATAGAATTAAGAGCTAAAGTTGACTAAAGTTGACTAAAATATATATATATACACTATATATAAAGTATTAAGAGCGTTTTAGTTGACTATAAGAAGATGCGAATGACAAAAATACCACCATTGTAATAATGAGGCTCGATATCTATGCCCTGTAGTCTTATTCTCAGAGACTTTCCTTTAATCCCTTCTTAATTTGTTTAATCCCTTCTTAAATTTTGTTCTTAATCGTGTAGCCGCAGCGGAGTCCGCCTATGTCACTCTCGATGGATCCTACCTCGACGCGGACGTGCCGTATACATTCAGCATGACAGCAGAGAACTTCCTCGGAGGCAGTGACACAAAGACCTTGGAGGTGACTCGGTCTGCTCTCAACAAACCAGACGTCGTGATCTACCCGGAAAGAGTTGATCCTAATAGTGCCCTTATCTCGCAAGCGTGAGTTGATCTTCGTTTGCAATAAGATTTTTTTTTTACAATCAATCTTCATCCCCATTTGATTCGATACATTTCCTCAAATAAACGAACAAACGGCAGCGGCAAATCAAAATAAAGGGTATTTTACCTTACGTATCTGCTATCGTATAACACAGAACACAGAAGTGATGGCTAATTACTTTGAATCATCGGGTCATCGCGTCGGGTCGGGTGGTTGCGTTACCCAACCTTTTGAGAAAACATGTCCCTTATTCACGAAATATCGTTTGAGAAATATATTTATATAATTATACCCTGTCACCTTCAAATGGTCTATTCCAATTTACACGACATTTTGCAAAAACCCTACGGCATATCCCAAATCTATGAAAGGTTGCGTCATCTTCCGCTTTTGTTTCACGAAAGGTCTTGTAACGTGACCAGCCAACCTCACGCGATGGCTCGCAGATTAGAAGTGAGATACGCTATAGGGGCGTTTGCTACGCCCAGACACCTTTTCTCACCCCCCCCCCCCGCCCCCGCTTACCATTCATTGATTGTCAATATTCATATTGAACCTCGGTCGTTTACCTCATCTATATTAGGTTTTTAAAGACAATTCTGTTAATCTTGTACCCCAAAGAAGAAAAGGTCTTGGTTCGTTATAACATCAAGTATGTACGAATTTCGTGTCCTTTCAGGTTCTACCTCCGCGCTGCTGTACGATTCTACGAGGCCTGCGGTGGAGCTGAGCAGATGGAGTATGCCTGGTCTGTAGATGATGATAGTATTGCTCTTAACCTACAAACCATAAACAAACCACTCCTGTATGTGGCAGCTGGTTCTTTACCAGGTATGGATATTAATATTAAACGGGTCTCGATTGATGTATAGCATTTCAGTTAATCAATTTGATAATAGTAATGATAATACCAATAATAATGAAATGTACCACAAGACTCTTACGAAAAGTACTTGAGGCCTAAGGCTTCGGGTTGTAGCTTACCATCAGTATGTTGATGAGAAAAAAACCCAGCATAGATCGAGCTGAGAATTCGATAAAATGCTGGTAAGTATAGGCCTATCAATGATGATTTTGAAATTAATAATAATAATAATGATAATAATATTAATAGTAAATGTTTCTTATGAAGCACTTTACCATAAAGTGACCATTGAACTTACAGTATCATCATTACCCCAGTCACTGAAGAAAATTATTATTTCAAACTATAGTGCACATTCTCCACTCCCTGAGAAAAAATCTAACTAGTCACCTTCTTACGATCGAAAGACGGAGAGAGAGAGAGCGAAAAGGGAAAGGAAGAAACGAAAACGCAAATATCTCAGTAGACTAGCCAATCAACATTGGCCTATGATTGTATTCACTTAAAGCCCTTATATTTCAAATATGTACCGAGACTCAAATTTGAACTCCTTTTTGATTAAGTTCTAAAATTTCAATGTCACAACCCATTTAGGCGACTCCCAAGTGACCTTCACACTGGAGGTCAACCGGGAAAGTGATCCCAGCACGGTGACCACGCAGACCGTGACCATTACCACGGTCTACACCGACCTCGACGCCCTAATCGATGGCGGGAGTGAGCGGACCATCGGCGTCGACAGTGAGTCGTTCACACTGGATGGATCGTCGTCGTTTGATCCCGACAGTGAAAATGAAGAGATGACCTACCTCTGGACTTGTCAGAAGGTACACATATTCGATAACATAAAAATACACGTACATATAGACCCTAAAAGAGATTCACGATAGGGGCGATAAGTTGCGTTACATAAAATTTGTTTAACAACATACATCAGTATTATATCAGTTATTTGGTAACATTAGATGTTAAATGGATTTACGACTAGATAAGTGGAGTAAATTGCAGCTAAATCTGAATAACACCGACGATCAAATGCGTTCATATGCAAAATCGATGCAAACAGTCTACCCCGAGCTTTTTTACCCTCACATCATTGGCTAACACATGAATTACCTTTTATCAACACCCTTTTCAGTCGAACACTGAGACAGGCAGCTACGAGCCTTGTGTATCAAGCGAGACACGTGAGGTGTTCCCGGCGGAAGCTGACTCCAAAACAAGTACTCTCACGTTAGCTTCCAACAATCTTTACTCGGACTCCACCTATCTGTTCACTCTGGAGATCAACAAACTGTCAAGGACAGCATCGACCAGTGTCACCATCCTTTCCAAGTCTGGCAATCCTCCAACGGTAATTATTATTTGGAAGGGGTCTTAAGATGATGAGAATTGGTGTTGGGTGTTAGTGATTTCATATTTTGTTTGGGTAACGTCAAGACCACACCAGGGCTGGTAAATCACCAAAGGTAATTAATGTTTGGGAAAAGTGTTAAGACTCTTGGTGTTTGGTGTTTGTGATTGCTTGCAGGGATGGCGTACCATTATGTGGGATTGGTGTGAAGAAGAACAACTGATGTTTGTAGTTGGGTGTTTTTTTTTTTTTTTTTTGGTAGTTTCATACACACATAACTCAAGGCTAAAAATTCATCCAATGGCATAGTGACGTAGTAGTTTACATTCCAAGTGAGTATGAGAAGAAGTTATGTATCTTCTCATATAGTTGGTTTTTTGGTTTGAAGCATATCATGCCTGCTCGTATATCATGCTTCTACGACAAACCTCTAACATGAACCGTTTCACTCCGCATCCTGGCCTCTTGTAGATCAGTCTCGATGAATCCCTTCCTGAGAAGATAAAGAGCAGTAGTTCTCATACGCTACGAGTATTGATCAGCCATACATCAGATATTACCATTGACTGGGCTACTGTCGACATAGATCTTGGTAAGAGTTTGCCATTTATTGAAATTATAGGTTTAAATTGAGATTGGTCATGTTTTAGAAAGTTCGGAAGGTATGACTTGCGATAGTGCATGCTGCGAAAAAACAATGAGTTTCAAAAAGTTATGGTTAAATATAAAAGCGACCTCTTTTAGTATGTTTTGAACAAAATTGATGCTATATGCTAAAAAAAAATTCTCCAAGCAATTTAAAACTATGATTGTCTCTTAAAGTATGCATGTGACGAACCTGTGGTAATGATAGTACGGCTTTAGAAAGATTTCCGAAGATGAAACAATTCTCAGAACGTATATTTGCTACAATCAATCTGTAATACTCCAGTTATTAATGTTTGAAAGCCTGATAACATATATTCAACAAAAATTATTTTGTATAGATAATGGATGGTAAGTATAATCTATATTCAAATAATCTTGTTGAAGCCGTCTTGTACACTGTTCCTCCTATTGCTCCTCCAACATACGCCTGTTTCATTCTGCCCTCATCTTTGAATGATTGATTACTAGTTGGAGCCAGAGACTCGCATCATTTTACACAGAGGTAACACCCTTTGGGTTTCAAACCGATGAAGTTTGGTTTTAATAGATAATGGAAATCAATTAATGCTAATTTGAACCCCTTCAACTTTTCAATTGAATACAGGATATGGATACGTTGACTTTTCACAGCTGAATAGTCAGTCATTCCTTATACAAGGAGATACATCACCCTTCATCACATACGCCTTTGTAACTATCCCCACAGGTAAGAGGTTCTACAAGAAAGCTATGAGAAACAAAGATGAGATTTAGACAAATGTAGAGTATGTTTTAACGTAATATAAAGCGTTTATTGATATTAATGCAGTATAAATATATGTATCATTAACCTGACTGCTAAGAAAACATAAATGCTTGTAAGTAAGCAACCAGACGGCCGACGGCATTAGGTCCTCTCCGAGGGACCTACCAATGAGGATGCCTTACCAAAAGGGCACTAGCGCATCGACTTGCTTTCGAACCCGGGTCACCGGATTACGAGACCACTGCTCTACCGACTGAGCTATCATGCCTCTCTAATACTTTAGAATCTGGTTCAAAATCACAAAGATCAATTGATATGAACATGCTATAGCATCTAGGCCTATAAGAAATGACCATTAGATAACATTATATCCCTTGCGGTATCATAATAAGAAAAAGAAAACCACGTGTTTAGTGCAGTTAGCTTAAATTATGTGCCATGATGGTAATCAATAATGTTTAAAGCCAAACCGTTGCAAAACCAGTTTTATGATAACCCCGTAATATATAACAAATCGACAAACATTTAGAAGCATTCATTAAGGCTGACATAACTTTTTCACTTATATATTTTAAGTCTGTTTGATAAGAATACTAATACTTTAAGTGTAAACATTAATGAAATATATGTTTTAAAACGGGCCATAGTGTAATGAACAATTTTAACATCTCCAGCCTAATCATTAACCCGTCCATCCATCTTCTAATGGCGTCATAGGAACTTTGGAAGAGGATGTTGCCTACTCTTTCTCAGTGACGGTAACTGATACCGAAGGACAGGTGTCAGCTAGTAAATTGACTACCAACACGTATGGAGGAGTATCATCCTGTACATTCAGTTTGGGTGATGGTTCAACCAGCTATCAAGAACTTGACGAGGTACGTTATCCTTAAGGACCCTCATCCGAGCCCCGTCTTATAAAGAGTTGTGTTTGATCCGAATCAATCGCAACTCCTCCAACCAATCGAAAGTTTGCAGTCGCCATCTCTTATGTACTTAGTTGCGATTGATGTAAATCGTGAATAATTTGCGATTAGTCGCAACTGTTTATCAGATGGAGCCCAGAATTTGATTTACCATGACAACACTTATTAAGTTATCAGTTTCCTAATTAAATGTACAGAAGTGGTAATCCACTTTTCGTGAGAGTTATACATTGGGAATCACGTATTTTGGAATGGAATCCATGCTTTTAAAAAAGGTGGAATCCGCTCCCAGAAATATTTTTAGACTTCGAATTTACAGTGGATTTCACTGTGATTAATATTATCATTATTATTTGTATTATTGTTATTATGATTATTCTTCATCATTATTATTATTATCATCATCATCATCATTATTGTTATGAAGGTGTCGAGAACGTTCTCTGCAGGTCAGAAAATTAACTTCACTTATGCTCTGGTGTAAAAACTATGGCATAATACAACTATATTACCGTTTCTTCTCCTTTCTGTGTTTCCCAAAGATCACTCTCCTAACTCAGAACTGCGTGACTGATGAAGAAGCTTACCCTCTGTCTTACCAAGTGTTCCGTGAGAAGGTCGAATCATCTGTCACCCGTTACAACGCGATGACGGGTGCATTGGCAGAAGCGAGCAGCACTATATTGGGTCTGCCGTCCTTTAGCGACAACCAGAACACATTTGTTGTCAAGGTAAGAGGAGGTTTACGAGCTCAGTATTTTCATTTTGATGTCTGTTAAGCTACAGTCACAAAGGTTCGTGCGAACGATGCGTTCGTACGAATCTCCCTGTTCGTAGGAATTCTAGAGTTCGTAGATGGGGCATAGTTTCTAACGTCCTTTTTACAGAGTTCGTACGAACGCCGTTTTATGTTTCGCTTTTTTCGTTAGAATGTCTTGGTTTCTTCTTACGTCAGACTGACGGCCATCTTACGAGTTTTTGTTCTCGCAAGATGGTCGTACGTGTAACTGACGGCATTTTCAAGTCATTCGTAAGAAGGTATATTTTGTTAAGTTGCAAAAAAGCCCTGGATAAATTGCATAAAATGTGAACGTACACCTTATAAGCCCCTTACAAATGCCTAACGAACGCCAGGAATCGTTCGTACGAAGGCCATATGAATTTCTGTTCGTAAGGCGTTCTTACGAGTGCCGTAAGAGCTCTCTGTGAACAACTTAAGGCGTCCCTACGATCATCGTAAAATCTAGAGGTTTCTAGAATTGTCTCTCTACCCAATGAAATCTCCGGAGATCTTGCGTGGTTATTACGATGTTATTTCGACGTTCGTCGCCTAAGCCGCCTTACGAAGAGAGGGTTTCATACGAGGTTGAAAACATCTTGGACAAGACCATCGACCAATCTGCGAGCTTACGAACGGTCTACGAACGCTGATTTCGTACGCCCTTCTTAAGAAGGTCTTACGAAATGGTCTGAAAATCGTTCGTACGGCGTTCTTAGCAGTTCGTTATGGTATTTGTGACTGGGGCTTTTAATTTACTACAAGAATATTTAACTTTTATTTTGTTAGACTTATTGGCACGAGTCTGTTAACCGGGATCAAGCAACCCGGTTCGCAACCAATTCGATGCGCGAGTGCCCTTTGGTATGGTATCGATCCTCATTAAAGGGGGATACCCCCTGTAGCTATTCTACTAACAAGTGTCTGAAGTGTGAATTCGATTTAAGCTACTATTGCATATTCAGATTAACAAATCCCTAAATCTTAATTTGCCTTGGTTGTTCTCCTCTTGTGATAGGTGTGCAATGATTTTGGAAGCTGTTCCTCGTACAGTCTTACATTGGACGTCACTCCCATCGCATCTTTCAGTCAAGAACAGTTTGATGAAAGTATAACCAATCTGGTAGAACCACAAAAGCTCTCAGGTATGTAACACAAATTATCCGATGTAACAGATTTGTTCACCTTAAACCATTGCGACTAATCACAAAACTTTTATTTTATCTTAAAATCACCCGTCCCTCGAAATAAAACGTTAAATGAATGTCCTTTATAGGAGACCCACCACCTTTACACGTTCAAACTCAACTGCAATCTTTATAAAAGAGTAGGGGAAGTAATCCCGGTGTAGTATACCGGGAGTAGAGACTTGACGATCAGGTATATTATTGTTCTTTTGTCCTCTCCCCAGCTCAGTTGTTTTACAAAGTACTTTTTTTTCCTGGATTGTCGTTTTCCGAATTTATCAAACAACCGATTCTACTCCGTTTCTGTCTCAACAGGGAATTTCCTAGATGCGCTGGTAAACTTCAACACCATCACGTCAGTGGGTGTCGACAGCACGAGTAGGAAACGGAGAGCAGTCTCGGAGACATCCAGCACAGCTACTGAGCAGCTGGATTTACTTCAGAATGCCATCTCGTCGACGGTCCTTGACACGGCCACCGCCCAGACTCTGCTTGATCAGTCGGATGGCGTGGTCATTGCTGATCTCACACTGTCTGATATGGGTAAGGAAGAATCATAGGGAGTTGTGAGGAAGGAGTCGTAGTCACGTGGTTACACGCAATACATTTAACAAAATTGTCACTCTCGAACGCGAGAGTAATGGGTACATATTATATGTACAAGTATTTGTTGATCGGACTATCCCTTATGGAACAATCACAATGTTAACACAAAGTGGACCACACTGTGTACCACATATTCAAACACAGTGTGGTACACAGCATGCTACCACATGTGGGCCACATGTGATTTTGGGACATGTGGTTATGCTGTGGTGTACAATGCGATGCGTACCACACTACGGTGGCAACTACATACCACCATGTGGTACGCACCACATAGTACACCACAGCATAACCACATGTCCCAAAATCACATAGTCTACTAAAGTGTGGTGTACCACAGCGATACGAAACGTCCCAAAATCACATGTGGCTGACATGTGGTAGCACGCTCTGGGATCAAACACATAATTACCACATAGTCTACCACACTGTGGCATATGCCGCATAGTCTGATACTGTGCCATCCGCCACATAATCTACCACATAGTTAAATACATACCACACTGTGGTAAATATGTGTTGCTCTGTGTTAAATATGTACGACTATGCGGTAAACCACATGATCTGAACCCCACACTGTGACAATACTGTGAACACAGAGTTTGCACATAGTTCAATACATACCACAATGTGGTAAATATGTGTCACTCGGTGTGAAATATGACCGATTATGTGGTAAACCAAATCCCACACTGTGACAATACTGTGAACACAGAGTTTACATATAGTTCAGTACATACCACACTGTGGTATATATGTGTCACTCTGTGGTCAATATGTACGACTATGTTGTAAACCACGTGATTTGAACCCCACATTGTGACAATACTTGAACACATAGTTCAACACATATACCACTGTGGTAAATATGTGGTACTCTGTGTTTAGTATGTCAGTTTATGTGGATATTAATATGTGCTTAACCACATGGTTTGAAACTCCACACTGTGACAACAATGTAAACACACATTATTTTTTCCACAGTTTACACATTGTTGACTATGTGAACATAGTGTGGCAACAGTGTGATTGTTCCATTAGGGATGCGCTGCTAAGTTGCCGGAGCTATAAAGTCGGGGTTATCATTTCAAAGCCTGTTGGCGTATTATAACCGATTTATGTTTTCATTAACCACCTTAATACATGTAGTTATCTATTAGTTTCGTTATGTCAGACTTCACACAAAACAACTTGATGTTTTCCAGGATGTTGAAAATTAATGATTAATTCTCACCAAATGAGGACTTATGCCAAATATTTTCGATGTAGTGATGAAAATGTTGTCACATCAGGTTTCAAGATGGTAGAAGACATGGAAGTTGATAGATAATACGAAATTGACCCTATTTCAATTCAACAGAATTTAAAATCAAAGAGGATACATATGTACTAATAAAATTACTCTATCTTTTTATCTGATATCAGACATATACCTGGATATTTTAATTGAGCTCGTAGCTGTTTTCAGTGATGAAGGGCTTCCAGAGTCTAGCGCCGAGATCGTTCTTACAAAGACAAGCGAGATCGCTGCTGAACTCGACCCTCAATACAACTCGGACATGCTTGCCAAAATTACGTGAGTATACCCTGTAAATACGCTGTAGGGTGACACTTATCAGGCATTTTCATAAACTTCATAGATTTTACATTCGAACAAAAAAAGAATCACCACAAGGGCTCCATAACGTATTGAAGGTAATGTTAAGTGTGTAGACATCATGGAACCGAACGTTTACCTGTCAGCGTAATCAAATCATTAAAATCCGTAATGGACGAATAGTCAACAGTTCTTATCCAATGAGTTATAGTCATGGTCTTTAATACAAATGATTGTTGAAGAGGGGAGGGTGAAGTAGCGAAAGAATCATAAATCCGTTGAGGAAAATAGACTCAAATTGTGTTTATTCTATTTTCAGGACCCTGAGAAACACATTAATCCAGGGCCAGCTGAGTCAGATCCCACTTGGAGGGGACCCTACGGAGACCAGGTCTGGTTCCGTTACCACCAGGGCCTTCTATGCTATCCCTAGTGATACCCTCAGTACTGCATCCAGCAACACCTCCTTCAACGTCAAGTTCGGAAGCGAGATCGAAAGCTTGTGAGTAATAGAAGTTGATCCCGATTCCTTTCGCTATCTCTTCTTCACTCTCAACTCTCTCTCTCTTCTCCCTCCCTCTTTCTTCTTGTCTCTCGCATTCTCTTCCTTCTCTTTCCATTTTTCCATTTCTCATTCTCCCCCTCTCTCTCTCTTTCTCTCTCTCTCTCTCGGTTTCTCTATCTGTCATTTTGTAAATAGTCTCTCTCTCACACTCTCCCCCCCCCCACACACACACACTTTTTCTCTCTCTTTCCACTTAATGATAAAGGTTCTGTTTTTTGTTATTGTTATGGTTGTCTTTTAGCATCACTGCCAAGAAATGGAGACATTGCCTATGACATTATAGGAGTAAAGGGGTGATATGAAGGGGAAGGATCTTCCCTAAGACGATAGTCAAAATTAAAAGTTTCTTGTACACATTTATAGTTTTCAAAAGATTGAAATAACCTCCTTTCTGAAACTGTAAAAAAATGATTATCACCCTTTTGTCTTTCTTGTGTATTTTTCTATGTATTTATAGATATGGTGCAAGTTGGTCGTGTGCTTCTGGAAGCACTTGTTCTGGTGTTCAGATCATGTTTACGCAGTACGACGACGAGGTTGATTACTACTCGACTACGGACGAGGATAAGGCGAACAGAGCATCTTCTATCCTTGAAATCGATCTGCTTGACCCGAGTGACAGTAAGTCATTAGATTCCAATTTTATAAATGAATCTTTGATTTTCTTGAAATCGTCAACAAGAGATATCTGAATATACCGGAGAACATGAAGAATGTATAATTCAAATTATTGTTGCATTCTTATATATCAGAAACGTTATCATCTAATATTGTATAATGTAATGTGATACTAGTAAAATAGTGATAACATGTGATTAAATAACACACCTATTTGAAAATTGCTTTATTTCTATGCAATATTGATGATTAGTAACACATCTATCAAAAGTATTAACGATTTATAACAGAGGAGTACCATAATATATAGATTCATTAACTTGACTTTCAATTAAGAGGTTGAAGTTTCGAACCCTTGCTTGATGTGATGTGTGTGTTTTTATCCAAAGCATTATGTCTGACTCACTTCTTACAATTTGCACCCGAATCGATTATCCCTTGAAATCCACTGTGCGCTAGTAAAGTGTTGGCGGAGTTAAACACAATACTCTTTAGTAACAAATAGGGACAGTGTTTCTTTTGCAATACGTGATATACATGAAATTGAAAATGATATGTTTATGTTCATCATAATGTAATAAAATTGACCTGCTTTACTTTGGTAGATTCTGAGTTGAGTATTACTGGACTGAGCAGCCCCATATCAATCAACATGACCGCTTCACGCCTCCAATCCGACAAAGTCTATGACTGCTATTGGTGGGACACTAGCAGCAGCTCTTGGAGCCAGGATGGACTTACGACCGTCTACCACTCCTCGGTCTTGTCTGAGTGCCAAACTACTCATCTTTCAGCCTTCACCCTGATCGCTGTTGATTCTCCTACTACGATTATGATGGCTACCACGATAGTTGATGACGCCAGTACTTCTACCGGTATGCTGTTTTAATGATTGTTGTATTTTCTGTTGTTTCTTTGAAATACTTGTAATATACCTACGAATTGTGCTGCGCATAGGTTTCATCTATAACTATCAGGTCTCAGTTAATTTATCGTTTAGCAGCAAGATAGGATATCTTAATGGTGATGTTTTTCGAAATATTTAAAATTTATTATTAGATTTACTTGTAGATCATTGTGATTATTCATAATCTTGATAATATCTTCTTTTTTCAGATGCAGTAGCCTCGACTGCGACAACGGAAATCAGTAAGTACAACTTTAATATTATAATCCATGTGTAGGGTGCTTTACAACTTCGTTGAGTATGCTGAGTAAGACGATTATTTGACAAATTATGACATGTTGCCATACTAGTTCCTTTCATTTTGTGGGCCTGCGGTTAATAACCTAAACTAGAAACACATCGATAATCATTCATAACATTATTTTTTTTTTTTTTAAAGAAGTAGAAATTAAAAGACGTTATGTCAGTTCTAAGTGCCATCTCATATCATTGAATAATAACTGGAAGCGATTTAGTTCTAAGTTTGCTCGATTAAAGAAGAAAAATCATTCTAATCCTAATATTACTTATATTTTTGAAAGATTCCAAAGCGAGATAAATGATCGTTTCAATACATTTTATATTCTAAACAGGTGAGAGCGGCAGCAGTGGTCTAAGTTCTACCGTCATCATCGTCATTGCCGTGGTCATATCTGTCGTTTTGATCCTAATTATTATCATCGCCATCGTGGTCGTGATGTCGAAGAAGTCCTCCAAGGTCGGTAATGCTGATATCGAGAACTCGAACGGCAATGGTGCCAGGAATGGGACCAGCACCGCCGATGGACTCGCTCCTGTTGAATCTGCGAACCAGGTAGGCTTATTAGTTAACGTTTCATAACATTATTTCTGATTGATGACAAAGCATAAAATTATGTTTTATTCACTTATCTGTTTGGGTTTTTTTTATTTTATATATTTATTCATTCATTTTTTTAAATGTACAGTTTTTAAAGCTTGAGAAAAAACATTCGTGTCAAGAATGTGTAATGGATCTTCGTGTTAATTCATGCATACTCTGATAGGAATGATGGGTAGAAGACAAAAAGCTTCAGTGTGTCCGAGACTGGTTGAAATATATAATATAATGGAAGTAAAAGAGCAAAAATATTCTATATATATTTTATATGTAACTAAACTGATAAATTCATTTTGTTCAATCCATTCATTATATCATTCTATTTCTTCTTTTTTAAACTGTGTATGTAGCCTACTCTCTTACTCATCCCTTTTTTAAAGTGTCATTTGTTTTCTTTATCCACTACCTCTTGATACCTCATTTCTTGCATTTCAGGCATTCAATGCCCCACCAACAGCACCGGCCCACCCAACCCATACTGTTCAAGTGGTCGCTGCCCCAGCTTCGGCACCTGCTTCTCAAGAGCCTATCATGGACGTTGCAGACCTTCCTGGATCCCCATCACCCCCTCCTGATGGACCCCATATTGATACCATCATAAAGGATGTTCAGAATGATAGTAGGGCCCAAACTCCAATGGATAGAGCCATGACGCCCGTTGAATAAGTACATATCCCAATTCTCCGTCCCGTCCCTAATTTGGGAAACATTTCGTTTGTAAAAAGGCTTTGAATTATTGCAAACACAGTGGTCTATGACTGCAGTTGATAGGATAAGGATTATAGTTTAATAATTCCTTCTTCACCCCTCCCCACCCCCATAATCCGTCCAACCGTATTTTGAGAAACCTTGTGACTCGATAGAGGCTTTCAAATATTTATTATAAGTTTTACTGAATAATACAAAATAGTTATTCTGATGAAACGTATTGTATTCATGTTTGCAGTTGCAACTTATGGTAGACCAACTTATAGCATTTAAAATATGTTTGCCCACATATTAGTATTTAATTATCTCGTCACCGGGTTAACGAGATACATTCGTCTTTTGATGTTTGATAAGTCTGGAAAAAGTATATATTATATGATAACCATGTGAAGTTTCACCAACAAAAATCAGCAAATGCGCAATTTTTTTTAATCCTTGCTTGAAACATTATATAAGTGACTTTTTGAAGACAAAAAATGCATTAATCTTGCAGCACATTAAATCACTTGTAGGAAATATTCTATGACTATTTAGTTTCGTGAATGTTCCTAGGCCAATAGTCAATTGCATTTGTAATCGTCATTAATCTGAAGTGTGCCAATGTAAGGTGCCAATGGTATTGTATACAATACAAGCATATATAGTATAATTCAACTGATGATCCAATTAAATGTTCTAACCTAGTATACTGAGAAAAGAGCTCATGAACTACTAATATGATAAGAGATTTTATTAGTTTTTTACGCTGTGATGAAAGATGTTACGTCATTAAAAGTGACATTTTGTGTCTACAAAATCCGTTCCAATGATATTAACTATGCAATGCGCCAACTTGACACTTATTCAGGTAATAAAGGTATAATTTGACTTCAAGATAAGCTTTTTTTGTGTTTTTTCTGGAATAAAATTTGCATGAGGTAATTTTAAAGACTTTTACATTAAGTGTGATCTAGAAAATAGTTTATAGTTTATCTTGACGCTATTTTTTCTTTTAATTTTTGTTCCCATTCAATCATGTAAATACTATTTTGAGGTGATGTTATGTGCAGTGTTTTGCTGTCTTTAATGTATAGGTGTTAAGATAATCAAAATTGTTATAACATTTTCCGGATGTTAGGAAATTCACGTATTGTAGGCGATGAATATAATGAGTCTTTACTCAACCCATAAACCTAACTTGACTAAAGCTTTATCTGATTTTTATATGCAAATAGATGTTGTTTATTTTTGTGGCTCTCGGTTAGAAATAAGGTTCCCGTAAAGTTCTATCTAAGTAAACATTTATTTATATAAAAGTCACTTTGTTATTTCGTATGTATATGATACTAAAGATCTTTCATGATTGTACAAAGTACACGAATGATGTTTTTCTGTAGATACCCGCTTTATGAAACCATTCGTTTTCTGGAAAACCGGTCAACGAGTTTAAGTAGCGGATCTCTAAACCCAAAATGGCATACTGAAAGTGTCTCCCCTAGTTGTATTTTTAATTTTAGGCCTAGATCCTACAAACACAAGCCTTAATGAAAATCAGCATTAATTTCCCTCTTTACAATATCAAAGTTCAACGCTTATCGATTTCATGAACACTGTCGTAATTTCTCATTCTTTTATCTTGAGGCTATCAATACTTAATTTGTCTTTCTCGACTATGTCAGATTTTAAATTTAAACAAAATTATATTCATGACAAACATGAAAGCGTAGAGTGAAATGCATGCTGAGACAATCATATTAATGTGTGATAAGAAGGGGTTTGAGGTGAACTAGAATATCTGTGATGTACTATGGTGTTTCAATCTCAAACTAACTCAAACAAACTCTCTTTGTGATTATTGATATGATAATAAATATTTTGCTGTGTGCCCGTATGCCACGTGTATTTCATCTGTATTATTTGTTTTGGTATAATAATAGAAGTGAAGTTGATTTGAAATTGTGGGTATTCAGCGGGTATTGAACTGTACAAAAAGCACAGATCTAGGCTAAGTGGCTAAGTTGCATATCAACTAAATATCAAATACGATCCTTCAATCAAATGAATCCCATCAACATGATCGTATACTGCAGCTCAGCGTAAATTGCGAATAGTTTTAGCTTGTTCCGAGAATGAGTCATTGTATATTTGTTTTATATCCCTTCCACCTATATCATCCCTTGGAAACTTCTGTATTAATATGTACCGTACTCGCATTCACATCACATTCAAATGAAACAATGTATCTTGAATCTTGTTTTACTAGCGCTATACAGGTACTGCAATAATGTAGTGAAGTTACTGCGGCCCAGCGTAAATAGCACGGCGTAAGCGCCGTGACACCGCGGGAGTTGGCCGCTGGAGGCATTTAAAATCCCGTACGCTTGCTGAATTTTGTCAGTGTAAGGGGGGGGGGCGGCGGGAAAAAGAATAGTTCAATTTTTCTCTAGGAAAAAAGTCAACTATTCTTGACGTCAGCAATTGTTGTCATCGTGACATTGTACTTTTTATTTATAAAGAATTTCACATCTCAAAACCTTCGAGGTCTAGGCAATCATATATATGATTTCATGTATTCACTGTTTCCAGCAGAATTGAAATATTTTTTTTCCCGCTTTTCATGAATTGATCGTGACGATATAATTTTTTCTTGATAGATCTTCTCAGCACTTTTCTCATCAATAAAGATTGACCAATAAATATGATGAATAAAATTATAAGTAGATATATACTTTATAAATAAAGAATAAATCACATTGTCACAATAATTTCATGAAAAGATGTAAGAAAAGATTATTCAAACTTTATAGGCAACTATGTCAGTATTTTTCCATGCGTACAAAATAGATGTGTGTGAATTCATATGTTTTTCTTCATTTACTATTAGGTACTGTGACTAAGCCCCCCCCCCTCCCTTGTTTTAACAGTGACGTGGATATAGATATGCCCTTTTGCTGAATGTTAAAACCTTCCGCTCCCATCCCTTTGCTCTCTCTCTCTCTCTCTCTCTCTCTATGTCTCCATTTCTTCTCTCTCTCTCTCTCTCTCTCTCTTTATATATCCCTCCCCTTTCACTTTCTTCCCATGGCCATGCAACATAAAAAATTAAAAAAAAGTCCTATAGTATAATATAATAATAGCCTAATAGTCCACTCCAAATTTTATTAAACCGAAACGGAAATTCTTTTTGCCCAATTGATCGTGAGCCCGGCAGCCACTGAGCAGCGCCAGATCGACGTTGCTCTTTCCCTTATTGTTGAACGCCAAACAAGGTAGCAACAATTCGATACTGCCGTCATTGCGAATTTTTGGAATTAATGGAAATAAATATTAGAGTTGCACCCTGTGTACATGTATCGGGAGGTATCATCACAATCATCACAATCACCACCACCACCAGTAACGCCTCCTCCGCCAACAAGAAGAAGAGGAGGAGAAAGAGGAAGAGGAAAAAGAAGAAGAAGAAGAAGAAGAAGAAGAAGAAGAAGAAAAAGAGAAGAGTAAGGAGAAGAAGAAGGAGAAGAAAAAGAAGAAGAGAACAGAGAAGAAAAAGAAGAAGAAGTTGAACACAGTAATTAACTTTTCAGCGCATTTATTATCGTATTTAATATTCAAAATTCAATTTTCTGAAAGATAAAAATATTTCAGCCTCTATACATGAAGATTTGCTTAAAGGATGATTCCATTGCACCAGAAGCAATTTTGAATATTGCCAAAAATAAGATCGTAATATGGCTTGATAACATATAGATAAATATACAATAGTTTTAAGTTTGAAGATTTCAAATTTTCTAATCAAACACTCGTTCTGGAAACAAAGATCCGAATTAGGAAATATTATTAATTCTCTAATGTCCCTACCGTAATTAATTTTTGCTCCTCTCCACCCAGGTGTAAATGGACACCTGGCAATTCCAGGGTAATAATACTAAATAATAGCAGGGTCCACTGGAAGTAATGATGTGGCTACTCTGGGTAAATAAGACCCAATAATATTTCTCTACTCGTAACATTTGCCATTTTTCCAATCGATCTATTCCTCAATTAAAATATCCTCTTGCTTTTGTTATTCTGGCACAGAAGCTAACGAACGCAGTTTATACAACGTTAATCATGAACCTAACACCACTCTTTCATAATTATAATGTTATCCTCCCAAAATGTATACACCGTAGAAAAAGGCAAATCTACAATCATGTACATAAACATTAGTTGCTATTATTAACCCTTCACTTATTGCACGACACTGGCTTCCTATAAAACAGAGAATTGAATACAAAATTATTAGGTGGTCTGTCGTAGACAGATCACCTATTGATTTCGTCAGAATTTTCTTTCTTCTTTATTTTTTTAATTTATTTATTTATTTATTTATTCTTTACTTTTATTTCTCCCCCTTTTTTGTTCCTAGGATAACTCACGATCGGTTGTGTTAATTTCTTTCAATTTTGGCACAGTTATAGGTCATCGTCATGAGACGTGACAGAAACATTTTCAAGGTCATCAAGTCTTCATGACGTCATCCAGGCGTCATTTTGTGAAATCACATTATCCATCATATCTTCATGACGCGTCATCAAAGGTCATTCATATTCATATCACATATACTTCAGGTCAAGGGTCCTCAGGTCAAGTCATCGAAGGTCACATAAACGTCATGACGTGCGCGTACGCGTGCGTCAAGATTTATAATTGCTCAAAATCACTTAATTCAATTCAATTCAATTCAAAGTTTATTCAATACTCTTCATAAAAACATTTAAAACATACAAAAACAGAATGGAGTTATAAATACAAAAAGACACAAGAAAGTGATAACAAATACAATGGCAATTTATAAGAGCATTTGGGATAGGCAGAAAGGAGGGAAGTTCCTTATATAAAAGGCTACCCCTAAAAACACACATACATGAAAACGAGAACAAAAGAACAGAACAAACAACAAAAAATATATTAAAACTTACTATCATGCACGATCAGAGTATATAAAAAAAATGTCAAAAATTGGCCGATACTATTGATACTGATTATTATACTTGTTTAACTATTAAATGAGAGTACGAATCAGGTCATTTTAAGCATTTCAACATTTTCCGTCCGTACGTGTCCCCGCGCGCGTTGTGCGCGCTCACAACGCGCGGGAAAGGTCAAATTCAAAATTTTTACATGATTTAGATTTCTCTTACCGTAATTGACAATTTACATTAATTTCAGTCACTCTTGATCTTTCATAGGGCTGTGAGCGCGCGTCAAAGTTCAAAATCCGCGCGTGCTGCTATGGGCAATATAATGTAAATTTGATCAAAAACATGCCATTTTAAAAATCAAAGTAGCTCTTCAGATAGTCCGTCGACCTCCATTTTTTATATCATGGTTGAAAAAAGCATGAGTTGGAGATATGATTTTATACCACCTTGACTCGTACAAAGTGAAACAAAGTCATCATATTGGCATCTAAACTCAAACAAATGTATTTTGTTGATAACGTCATTTTTGTCTGTGTTTAATTGAGGTTATCTCGCTTATCGGGGATCAATTTTCTCCCAGGTTTTGATATGTTGTAGCTGAGATAATTCTCTACTAAGATTATGGCATTTATTTTTCATTTAGATAACCTCATCATAGTGAAATATTCGATTAAAGGCGGCAATGCATAATTTGTCATATTTGCGTGTTATGTCTATGGGAGGTCACTTTTTTCAAAACATGAATCTGCATGACAATGTGTTTTGACCAGTACCTCGGTTGTTATTCAACTGTTTTCTCCCAAATTTTAGTATGTTGTAGTTGAGGCTATATGTTATCTAAATCATTCCTCATTTTTCCGATAAGATGTCGGAATCACGCTCATGATTGTGATCATCATCATTATTATAATGACGATAATCATCCTCATCAACATCATCATGATCATCATCATCATCACCATTACTATCATGATCATCATTGTTTACATGTCTATATAATTTCTTCCATTCTCAAATCTATCATAAGAAGTGAAGACAGACCACCTAATTCGTCCCCATGACGAATTAAATTTTCTAGTTTGTATTAAAGGTGATACAAAGTTTTGGAATGGGGTCATGAATTTGGTTCAAATGAACGTATTTGAAGCATATGCAGTCTTAAAATATTCAATTATCGTTGTCGCGGTTGAAAGCGAGTCTAAAGCGATGAAATTGTAAATATTAAACTCTTTAAGTCGTATAGCACCCTCTCAAGACTGATATTACTTTATTTCAAAACAATGTTTCTTGACTACAATCGACCGATTTGCTATTTTCATTTGGAAACTATATATCAGAACCACATATTCTGAGATTGTCATGGTCGCAGCTACCTTGTAATGGCCTTAGGCGCTATTTGAAATATTTGAAATTTACCGGGAGCACCGGTAAATTTTTGATTATTCAATTTCTCGAAAGCAGAAGTGTTTGAGGAGCTAAATTTTCTAGTGCTTATAATACATCTACAGAGGCATCCAAATATATCAAAATTTTAAAGAATTACTATCCATCCAATTTTCAAAATTTCCCAAAACTTTGCATTACCTTTAACATGGAAGGCAATGCATGGATATGATCCAGTGTACATGTCAGACTGGTTAACTGTTTATAACCCTCGAGCTAGTTTGTGATCTGCAGGGAAATACCTGCTTGAGAGTCCTCGAACACGCTCTCTTCTAGGCGATCGATCGTGATTGTGGAATGGTCTTCCCCAAATCCTTGCTCTTGTCACCAGTTATCCACTTTCAGAACTCAACTAAAGACATACCTATTTCAGATTGCTTACAATTAGTCACTGCTTTTTTTGTCATTCCCAGTTAGAATCATGAACAGACATTTTTGGTAGTTTTTTCAGTCTCATCAGCACCTTTGATAATCAAATAGATATTGGCACTTTATAAATACCTGGATTTGATTTGATTGGATGACAATCTATCGACTCAAGCATTCTTGCTTATGGTAGTTGGCCTCTGCATTTATCTTGATTATTACTTACCTCGATACTTTCAAGCTTTCAATTATGCATTTTTTTTATTTGTGTGTATTTAAGTTGTCACTCTTTATGTAAATCAATATACTATTATTGTTATTTGAATGTTTATATTTGATTTATCAATAAGTGCAGAAACATCTGATAAAAAAATAAAAGAGTACATTATTCTTTACCAGAAGTAAAGTCATGTATGGAAAGGACTGAAATAGGAAACCCCTTACCAAAGTTAATTTTAATTCCACTTGCCTAGCATTTCGTAGTGTAAATACACATTTAGACCTTAACCCAGTTATTTCTGATTCCTGGAATGAAACACTGGTATTAATGTAATTAGAAGGGTATATTGGGATGTAGAATTATAAGTTCGCCGATATCCCATCAACGCTAATATTGCAAATAACACGCGTTTCTACATTGGATTTCGGCGAACTTGAAGTTTGACAATTTCGCTAAACTATCCCCTGGATTAAAAAAAAAATCAACAGCTTATATCACGGCTATAGAGGGAGATATATATATATATATATATTTATATAAAGGCTTAAAGGTACTATGTCCCATTTGCAGGCCAAAAAAATGAAAAAGTTCAATTCCAACTGCATTTGAAAGATAATACTTATTTAGAACGTCCCTAAAAAGGTGGGGCTTGAAAATGTCTTCAAGTGGGAAAATAATGACTATTAGTTGTCAAATCGACTTGAGGGCTATAGAGCCCAAAAGTAATAGTCTTGATTTTCAGACAATTGTACCGAATGGTCATACGTTTTATGCTGCGCAAAGATTCAATCAGTTTAATCTTGGCCATCACAAGAAGTGGGTTATTGATGTAGACAAATGCTCATGTACCCTTTACAACTCTTTTCATGTATGTTATTACCAAAGAAGAAAAGAAGCCAGTCAGTCATTCAATAGTGTCTGACAGTGAAGTCTAGCAAGTAAACGGGTTTCCTTGCATAATTTGAATATTAGGACACTGCTAACGTTTAAATTTCACAGATAGGACATACATGACATATTCATAATTCCTGCAAAGTTCTACAGAATTTGAGGTTGGCTGCAAAAGGGACACAGTACCTTTAACGAAACATAAATGACGTAGCATTATAATCATGTCCAACACCATGAAGACAATCCCTGTTTTTCTTCGTCAAGAATGACTTCATCCCGTATGATTCTTTTCTGTACAGACGGATCGCTTCAATGATACATTTGTCAAACCGACCGAATCTCGGCTATTCGGGATCAATTTCCTCTTCGACCTGTTGTCGGTTCGTTACCGTTTTGTACCGGCGTTGTATTAAAGTTTGTTCTTTTTCTCGGGGAGTTATTAGTTACACGGCGGTAATGTTAATCCGGGAACGATAAGGTTAAGTTCAAACAAAATTGAGACCATGATGAAGATGACGAAGAAAATAATGAAAAATACCCCTAGCGTTTTGCCTAGTCTAAACCTGCAGACGTTGATGAGCACCACGGCTATGACGACAGTTAAGAGGAGGAGCATGGATATGTACGAGATCGCCCCGCTGTAAACGGTGACGGTGGATCGGTGGTCAATGATAACGGTCTGGATAAACCAGGGAAGCCCGAGACCGACGAGGATATCGAATAGATTGCTGCCGATCGAATGCGAGATGGCCATGTCTCCGTACCCTAAGACGGAGGCAATGTCAAAATGAAAAAATTACAAATGAAATAATAGGCATAGCAGGAAATTTAAATGTATTGTTTTATAACGTTGAAATCAAAACATGGGTCACAAATAGGTTCAGGGCGTTCCTTTCATGATTTCTGATCAATTTAAGACAGATGCTCAATTTTATATGTAAAATATCTTAAATATATATCAAAATATGTTTTTGCATTTCATAACTAAATCCCTCATAGTTAACATAACATCATTGAGTCCTTGTGTCAACCAATTAGGATCACACGTTTACAAACGTATAATTGTAATTAAGAGCAACTGAAAACATTTCCTATCAAAATGAAATTATTTGACAAACAATAAATCTAGCGTTAAAACTAGAAATCGTAATTTGAAAACGAATTTTCTAAATGCATAATTTTCAATAGAAATAATATCAAGATATGATTGTATTTATTCGCTCATGAAAATACAGCTTCACTCATGACAATACGGCGGTCGCTAACAAAATTATTGTAATAAAAGTCATAAATAATCTAGAATATCCTTCTTCACGCTAAGAACATAGTCCCGTAACCTCTGTTTCTTCAAAAATTGTAATTCGATAGTTTAGATAAAGGTAGATCATGAGAAATAGAATCGAATGGACTTCTTTTAAATCAATGAACTAGCTGAACCCGCTTCTATATTACGTAACAAATATTTAATTTTACATCAAGCAATACACTTGTTAAATGAAGTGTTTGAATGAAGTGGACGAATAAAGTGGACGGAAGTCAAATCGAAGGGTACTCCAAAGAGCACTGTCCGTATTAAAAGTTGTTGCACTATCGAGATGATTTTCTTGTATGCGGAAGATCACCGATATAATGCCTCTATTTTTCAATTTATTGATTGCTCCCGTTTGTAAAGGACAGGAGCAGTTACTGTTCAATGTCTTATCAAATTTTAAACTAAACAATGTTTTTTCGCATGTTTTTTTTTTAATAATCGCTAATGCTTGTTAGTTTTAAGTTCGGTAACAACTCTGTTGTTGGGAGCTATTTTAGCAACATAGATTAAGGGGTGAATGGAACCGGTCTCTTACAGGTCGATTCTATACTCCCATGACTGACATCATGTTGGACTTGGTAACCTAAAACGGTGAGCTGATCGGACAGCTGCTCTTCCAACAATTACCCCGGGTTTATTGCATAAAAGATACATGAAATAGGGGTAAAGTTGGGAATGTGATAAATGTTAGGGTTAGGTTATAGGTGCATATAGTGTCTGGTCGATAAAGGGTTGCAATTAGCGATTCGGGTAGTATACGAAATCGACCGTGGAGCAATTGTCACAGAATTGTTTATTATTAGGCCTAATTCATAATAATATTTGATCTTCAGTCTACCATTTCGATTGTTTAGAGCCAGAAGGGGGCTGACTCATACACTTTAGCACAGACTTAAATGTCCCTCTGGCCCTCAACAGACGATTTAAATGTTTACCTCCACGTGCAGCAATGATACTCAGCATTGTATCAGGAGTACTGGCTCCTGCCGCCAGTAGGGTTAGGCCCATAACCGTGTCCGGTATGCCAATCGTGTCACCTGCCAGAAAAGGGTAAACACATCATGATTCTAGCATGATCATTATATTTTTTATTTGTTTTGATACTGTGAATGTTTCATTTCCCTGTATCTATGGTAACGTTTGCATTAAATCACTTAACAAGCTTACATGTTCTTTAATTGGGCTGAAGCCCATAACTTCCTACGTCTAATGAAGCCTTGGTTAACATATCAAACAGGGCCAAACAGGAAGAAAGCTGCGAAATTTAAGAGAAAGGTGGACAGAATAGGGACAAGCTGTAGAGGGACTTGTATCACATCCTCCCAGGTGAAAAAAAACATTTAATTGAAATTGAAATGATGAGAACATTTACCGAAAGCAGTGACCATCCAGACTAATATGTACGTTAGAAAACCTATCCACAACAGGGAACATATGAAAGTCAAGACATAGCATCGCTTCCATCGTTTTCTTCGACAATCTGGAATGGAAATAAAAAAGACGGCGATGATGGGAAAGGCAAGCATCTGAGCGTATCGATTAACCCCCTTCTCCGGGAGCCTGAAGGGTGAACCGGGCTCTGTTTCGTTCTCGTCGTCGACGAAGTTATCGTTGTCCGTGTTTCTTCTGTCATTCCGTTCTAAGTCGCGATGGGGGTCCGATCGAACAGCTTTGTCGTTGTTGTTCTCTCCACCATCTGGGTAAAGAGAAAAAAGTAAGAAATAATAGTCTGAATGTTTGAACCAATGGATGGATCATATCAATGCATCAAATCTTACGAGAGAATCTTCATCTTTCACATGACAGATACACACAAATTATTAAAAGCTGAACATAAATATATTAAATCTTGTGCATCATTTTACATTTAGTCTTTATATCATAACAATTCTTGTAATTCGGTATAAAAAATGAAATGGCAATAGTTCTATCTCACATTATATTAAATAAAAGTCTTTCAGGGTATTATGACATATACGAAATAAAATGAGTGATATTTAGACACGATGAACACAGCTGTCTCCATTTGTGTCTCATATAAAGCAGCAATCTTTGAAACATCTCGGGCAGCGGTGTAGCATGGGTGGGTCAAGGAATCGGGGGGGGGGGGACACTTGTTTTAGGGGGCACTCACCGTTCTTGTTGAGTGAAATGCAAAGTATGAGGGGTAGGTAGGAGTCCAATCGTCTCTCCCTTTTCAGTCTCCCTTTCCTTTTCTCCTTAAGTTCTTCAATTTTTGGAAATTGGATTGAGGCACATGCCCCCTTTATAATTACATAGACTGCGCCCTCTGTGCTCTACTGTCACACCATTGATCTCGTGTACCTATCATTATCTCTCATATTAAAAAGATATCAAGCATGTTGCCGCTACGGCTTAAGGTCTTACCCCCTTCATCATCTCCACCATTAGGGTCATGAACGCCCGTGGTCACTTGAAAATTCATCTGATGACGAACTGGTGAACAATCCACGTCCGTACCGTCGAGGAGGCGAGTCGACTCCATTTCATCACCGCGCGCGTGTCCATTTTGGATGGGTTGCTCGACTGTGATGTCCTTTTGTTTGTGGGTGCAGCAACCAGGTGTGATTTTACTCACCATTTGTTCGATTGGACGGTTAAAGAACATGAGAATGCAGTATGAGACGTACAAAGCAAGGAGAGTCACCGAATCCTTCCTGGTAGAGGCATGATAAAAGCGATAGAAGGAATAGAAAAGGAAGACAAAAACAATGATTACTTATATTGAGTGTGGCAAATTCAGACCTATTGCTGTAGCAAAATAGCGAAATCTTCCATGCTTTATGGAGCATAAGTATGAGTAGGATACGGAAAGTATACTTGTTGGGAGTCTTTGATTTCAAGTTTTGCCTGGAAACGGTAAAACATCGCCCTCATTTCAGCTATATTATCAAGAAAGTTTATTGTTCATTTAAGATGAATCAACAAGATGAGTTAAACAAAGTGTAAAGTTGGTAGCGTTGGTGGTGATGATGATAGTGGTGAAGATGGTGGTGGCGTTAATTTTGTTGACGATGATGTGGGATTAACTTGCTATTGTTGGTTATTCCGTTTAGCATACACCGTGGTTACGCCGATGATCATTGTGGTGGAAGAAGTGGTATGATTGTGATGTTTTGGGGGATAGTGATAGTGATAGTGGTGATGGTGATGGTGATGGTGATGGTGATGGTGATGGTGACGGCGATGGTGATGGTGATGGTGATGGTGATTGATAGTGATTGTGATTGTGATGGTGATGGTGATGGTGATGGTGATGGTGATGGTGATGGTGATAGTGATGGTGATGGTGATGGTGATAGTGATGGTGATGGTGGTGATAATAGAGATAGTGGTAAAGTTGTCAACAGCGGGGATCTTGATGTTAGGAATATATAGGTATAAATCTAAAGATACATGTAATATTGACTACTGATCACGCGACAACACTGTCAAAGAAACTGTCTGGAATCAATTAGGATAGGTTAATTATGTGGTACATATAGGATTGATGCATACTGTAACGTTTTGGAATGATTAACATGAAAATGGGCAGGGCTAATATATATTCCTTTATTCATTATTTTATTTGTTTGGTATATTAAGATTGACAGCAGCTCGGGCAGAGATCGTCAATGTACAAAGAAATAACTATATTTACAAAGTCATTTTTACATTATATATATAACATAATCAATAATGTGTTATGGGACTACATACGAACGTTTGGTTTAAACATTTCAGCTGTTTCTCGCCATATTTTGAATTAATGAGGACTTTGGAAAAATCAATCCTTTTCAGGTGGCACGTCTTTGAAGGTACTTTCTCAAAACTGATATTTAAAAAAAATTGCGAAAGCTAACCAAAACTCAACCTTCATTTAAAACTCTCTTATATGAATTTAAAAACTCACCATGACACCTCTCCGTCCTTCACAGCGAGAAAGAGGGCAATGATAGATACTATGTAGCATGAACAATCACGAATGAGAGGCCAGCAGGTTAAGTTAATAACCTAAAGTGTGAATGAAAACAAGCATATCATTACATTCGACTCGCGATCGCAAACACTTTCAAGAAATACAGTTGGGGGCGATTTCAATACGTTATAGTATTACCCATAAAAAGCTTGCTCGTATTTAACGTAATGTGTAACTGTCATATTTTCGGGCATTGCATTTGGTGATGCTCAAGGCTGTGGATAGTCTTTGTGATCGTGTTAATATTTCCCTCATGAACTAATATTTGTCCCCTTATGATGCTGTACACCCCCCCCCCCCCCCCCATAGATGGACCTACAGTACGCCAGTGACTTCTTCACAAATCACGAAACAAGTCCCATAAACGACCTCAACATTCAAAGTAATATTAGAATAAGCGTAGCACCAACTAGGGGGGTGAGGGTAGCATAGATGGAGCACCATTTCTTTGAATTGAATAGATCGAGGGGTAAGAAGGGTCTCCATGAAAACAAAAAAACTAAGGCACGTTGTACAAGGAGCGTCATTTCACTGACGCAGGACTCCGTCAGTGACTGGAGTAGTCTTGACACCAAGGTTCGAAACTGAGTCTCGTCTCTCGGATGGTAACGTTAAAGGCCAGCCCCAGACGTAAATAATCATATTTGATTGATGCCCCTCCGCAAAAACCCAAATCAAATACACACACGCTCAAACACACACATAAATAACGCACACAAACACACACTCACGCACATGCACCCACACACAACTACACACGCCTCTTGCGTAACGGGTATTTACTTAATTGTTTTAATTGAACCACATACCTGACCAGCCAATAATCCACATAGACCAATGACAAAGAGGATATTAAAAACTGCTGATCCCACTATGGTTCCAACTCCAATGTCGTCATGGGTAACGAACACAGCTATAAAAGGAAACAAATGTTAGAAATATGTCATGCTATAAAACAACAACAACAGTAAGTATTATTTAAATATTTTAACGGTAAATCTTATTATCAATATCATTATTATATTTTTTGATTATTATAATTATCAACATATTACTCATGATTATCAACATTATAATTATAATAATAATTATTATTGATATCATTATTATTATTATCAGTATTATCCTTATTATTATTCATATTGTTATAACAATAACTGTAACAGTGGTGCCTTGTTTGGTACTCGTGTCCCTCAAGTGATAACGCTTCTTACGAATTTACATTACCGCCAAGGGACCAATTGCTACGTAGTACGCGATGCAAATAAATGTGAACTATAGATATATTTTCACCATTTAAGAATGTGGCTACAAGTTCTTACCAATAAGGCTTGAGAATAATTCAGGTGCAGATCCTCCAATGGCCATGAAAGTTGCACCAGCTACATCTTCAGATAAATTCAGCACTAAAGGGAGAAAGGGAAATTAACAACAAAATAAGTTGTTGAAAAACTTATCTTCTCTACACTCAAGAGAAGAGAAATGATATCACGGAAAAAGATCTGCCAGTGAATATTATTTCTTCATAAAAATACATAATTGAAAGAGCGAAAAGGAGTGGAGGGTGGTGATCAACATTCGAAAAGTTTGCGAAAACATCGAAGAAATTATATTTTGTCATTCTGAGCCTGTTTATAAACTATTCTAATATTGGTCACTCCCTCTTTTCCTTCCCTTGCAACTTTTTCTTTGAGCTTATTCACACACACCACGCGCGCGCACACGGACAAACGTACACACCCACACACACACACATTCACACGCACGCACAAGCTCACGCGCGTGCACACACACACACATGAAAACAAACCACGTGCACTTCCCTAACGTTAAAGGTGAAATTCAAAGAAAATCACAAATATGTCAACTAATGTATCACTAGAAACTCGTAAGCTAACAGATGGCCATCGTACAAGTTATAGGTCAACTACATATCGGGTGATTTATATAAATACAAATACAACCACCTCCATAGCAGCTGGGATATACGAGAGATTCGCCGGAAAAATAACGATGTTTTAATGACGTCACTATATGGACCAACACTGCCCAAGCAGACGACATCCCATAGAGAATGAACATAATTGCAAAGCTATTATTTGTCAAATTATAATGGCCCGAATTCACAAAGCAAGGTTTGAACTCAGACCAAGGTTTGAGCTCAAACCTCCTTTTGTTTCGCCAAACCTCCTTTTGTTCTTTACAAACCAGGTTTGTAAAAAAAACGCGTAAAACGCGTCATATGACGTACGAAAACCAAGGTTTGTCGACAAACCTTCTTTGTGAATTCGGGCCAATGAGTTTAGGGTATATAAATGTAATGGCATTTCAAACCATTCAAAAGGGGATATGACCCGATTCTGATAACTAAAAAATTTTGCTTGTAAATACACAGGATAGGGGTTAATTAACAATCAAAGAAACCAGACTTTCAAATTGAAAAAACCCCGGAATGATATTAAGGACGGCATTGTTCCCTCTTAAAACGCCGAACATACCCCGGAGTGTGCAGCTGAATATACAATGGCGTCTTATTTTCTTTACAAGCGACAGATTCCTTTATTTTTGTATCGCTGCATTTGTCATCAAAATAAAACCATGCGCGGGGTTTAGAGTGAGGCAATATAATACATTTAGCCTGACGGTAGTGAATTAATAGAAAGAATTCAAGAGAAGATGAAAATACAGGCACTGGAAATGTGTGATATGTCATGGGGCATCCGTATGCTTGTGCAAGTCATGTCCATACTGTGATCTCACACATCTCAGCAGCGTTCGGAGAGCTCTTCAGGTGCTATGCCGGGGCTGTATTTAAGCGTTTTGTAATTTATAATAATCATTACTTCGAATGTTTTCGAGCATTGAATTTTGATAACCTTGTCGAATCAAAGTTTAAACTTTGCAGTAATGAAAGTAAAGTTAGTTTTTAAAATCAACGAATATCTACTTTAAAGGTATTACAAAGTTTTGGGAAATTTTGATAAATGGGTGGATAATGATTCTTTACAATTTTACTATATTTTGATGCCCCTGTGGATGTATTAAAAACACTAGAATTGTTAGCCCCTAAAACACTTCTGCTTTCGAGAAATATTGAATATAAAGATTTACCGGTGCTCCCGGTAAATTTTGATAAATTTCAAATAGCTCCTACGGCCGTACAATGGTAGCTGCGACCATGAAAATCTCAGAATATGTAGTTGTGGTATATAATTTCCGAACGGGAATAGCTAATCGGTCGATTTTAGTCAAGAAACATTGTTTTATAGCTTAATTAATATCTTGACCGTGAGAGGGAGCTATACAACATAAAGTGTTTATTATTTACAATTTCATAACTTTAGAGTCGATTTCGACCGCGACAAAGATCAGTGAATATTGGAGGATCGCATATGCTTCCAAAGTTCCAATATGTTCATTTGAACCAAATTCACGACCCTATACCAACACTTTGTATTACCTTTAAAGGAAATATATTTAAAAAAATCAAATTCTAATTGAGAACAGATTCCCCTTCCATATTGAGTATTAAGCAAGAAAATATACGAATTCTTTTTTAAAGTATGTAATAAGTGCGACAATACAGTCATTATTTTCGTTGATTTATTTTTCCCTACGCATTGGCGATTGGTCCAAGATGAATGCAAGCTCAATTATGTGTGTTTTGGCATGTGTAACCGTAAACAACTTCATGCATAGCCAATTTAGCAATGTTTGGACAATAGCTGCAGTGCTAATTGTTTTCACAACTCCCTCTCCCCAACCCAACCATGGTGTTTTTTAATGTAAGAATACTATACAGATCGCTAATAATGTTACGCTTACAGCTTGATGTAAAGCCATGATAGCAGAGTAGTTACTTTAATTGTTGTATTGCTTTATTTTTATTCCCACGCTATGACACTTAATCTTTCTTACGGAAGAAAGCCATGCAAATGGATTTTGGATAATAAGCAGTTTGGATAATAAGCACAATAGTTGCAGCAATTAATTTTACGACTTTAATTTTTTGTTCCCACATCCCCGCCATGGCAACTTTTTTTTGTTGCGGAAGAATACAGTGGAAATCGCGTGTGATTTGTCTGTTTATAATGTGTCCTTGTCACACAACAACGAGACCGATACTAGGCCGACAACAGATCCAACACAAACAAATATCCAAATCCAATGGCCAACAAACGATCAATTTGAAGTCAATGTCTCGATGTGACTTGGGTATTAGGCCATTAATTAAAATTGCTGGTAAAATATGATGCTTTCCCTCTACTTGAAAGCAAATTCAACAACGCTTCGATGATTTGATAGACATCAAGTAGATATCATTGACCTCGTCATTGGCGACAGAGGGTAGCAAAACACTTCATTGAAACACTACACCAAGCCTGCACTCACTGAACTGAAAATATTGTCAGCATTTTCAGTTCAGCTCCTGCACTACGCTCCCTAAAAGAACAAAGTTACTCGAATCTGATTGGTATTTCCCACCTGCTCTTAGTCCGCGTGCACAGGCTCTATTTTTGTTTTAAATTATTTATTTCGTTTTATTTCAACAGGGTAACCCCATCAGTAGTTAAAATACTGTTATACTTGGGGGCCCTGCATAACATAAAAATGCATATAAAGACATACATATACATGAAAACATCATTACATGGTGAATAGTAAACATGATATACCAGAAAGAATACAGATGTAAATGTAAACTCAGCGGGTAAAAAGAATCCCCCCGAAATCAAGTCATCAAGTCATATTTTGACTGTAAAGCATAATTCAGATAATTCGGATCTGACTGTGTCGGGAGCTGTTGCTCCTCAGGTGCTTCAACCACACCAGCGAGGAGCAACTGCAATACAGGGCATATGGACTTAAATCATCTTAGTCTCATACTTTCAGACCATCATTTACGAGATTTATGGACAAGGGTTTTTGCCTACAGACTAGCAAGACCTTGTCGTTCAAATTGTTATTAAACCAATACCAGCTTATCGATGAAATTAGATATGAAGTGGGTTTCGTCTTATATGTATCCGTTAGATGTACTTGAGAAAGTACCAAAATAATCATCAGTGCTTATGCTGGTTTGATTTGGATGCTGGACTCTGTCGAAACTTTTCAATGAAATTCTGAGTTCTAGAAAGGGTGGAAATAATATGTGTGCTTTCTTCTTCTCGCTTTTTATGTTCCATATACCCAAGTGTAAGAATGTCACAATAGAGATGTTTCAGGAATGTGATTAGGTTGTAAATGCTCTCATACTAGATGTTTAGAAGAAGAAATACAGTTTACAACTTTGAAGAAAAAAATTAGTCTGTTTATCATTACTCTGATGATTTAGAACATTTATAATGCACAACCGTTAGAATTTACTCCATTTTACATCCACAATCCAGAATAACTTTTAGGCAGTTCCAGCACTACCTTCACTACCCTAATTGTTGGGTAAACAGATATATAGCCCAACTGAAAAATGTCTTCGCCATTTCTGGTAAAATGTGACTAAAGTTAAACGAAGTATTACTTTATTTGGTATGAAATAGCCCCATAATGACAGAACGATTTAACATTCTCATGTTTCAATAGTGATTTGATAAGTGTATAAAACGCGTCTTATCAACAGTCAAAACTCAAAACGGGTAACAACGTTGTCGAAAATGGTGTCACGTGTACTACAAACATTGCCTCGACAGGGTTTAAATTAAGTTTCAGTATTTGATCTAATCATTTTGATATAATTGTTTCATACAATATTATTCATTAAAATACCCAAAGTGTATTTTTCCATTTCAAAATACTTATTGTATTATTTGTAGTTTTTATACATGTTATGTAACTTTTATACGCACGTTAAAGGGACTTGGTAACAGTGTAAAGATGAGAGAAAATGGTGCTAAGGTAGTGACTTTAATGCTAGATGTACAATCAAAGATAATCTGAAAGTTTGAGCCAAAACAGACCATTATTAACGATAACAATTGGGAAAATTGATCAGATCTATACCTTAATTCTCCTAACTATATTATAAAAAATTAATTACATTTTAGGTGAATACGGTATAAGTCGTCACAGAGTAATGAATTGGCTCTATATACCATTCCAGACATTTAAGTGTTGACAGATTTTTAAAAGCCTGTCTTTTGTCTTATTTTCATGGAAAAACGGTTCGGAAAATTCAAAAATGGTTGGGAGAATTAACTGGTAATCACTGTTAGAGGGTGTTGCACGATGACGCCTTCTTAGAAAACCATTACTATCTTTGTGGTTTGAGGATTTTTCGCATGTTAGAGGGTTAGTACAGTAGAAGGAAGATAATAAGTAACATTTCATACAAAAATTACGCAACTTTTTAATCAACCTTCAACAATGTTACCGAGTCACTTTAAGAACTAATGGAAGAAAAGCTGTTTGTTGCTTCATCTTAAATTAGCAATTCACTTCCTTGATGATACTTCTGAAATGAGGGCGATGTTTTCATGATATCCTAAAATGGGATACCCGCCTTATCCATATCGCAAATCACATTGTGTACCGATTACGAAAATAAAGCAAACAAGTAATCAATGAAACAAATAAACAAACAAGAGAAAGAGAATATATAAACACAGACCATCGCAGATGACTTCTAAGGCAGGCATGAAATATTCTTCGCAAACGATGCCCAGAGAGGCGAACATGTAAGTTATGACGAAGACGTGAATGACGACGGCACCATGTCGTCGTTGATCGCGAGTAAAGAGATGAAGAGGGAAGCTAAAGATGCTCCTCTCTGTGCAATTGATTTGCCCCTCTCCGTGGTGGTGGCCGTCATGGATATGGACTGAACTTCCGTCGAAATCCTCACCTTCTTTTTCATAAAAAGAAAAGAAAGAGAAGTCGGAAAGAAAAGTAAAAATGGTATCACTGTATTATGATAATGATAATTATGGTAAAGTATAGGTAATATTTATGATAATTATGCCAAAAATGATATCATTAAATGATAATAATAATAAAATATTATTGAATTGAATTGAAGATGATTTATCAAAAACGATACATAGAAGCCCAAAAGCTGAATTGCATACAGATTCACAATAAAATAGCAATAAAATCACATTTGAGTTTACAAAATTATACATTAATCATAACAATTTGAAAGCATAACATAGTTCAAGTCAGTACATATTATATGTGTAATTTACCGACCTCCAAACAATAAATATAGACCTATCCCTGTCTGACATTGATACTTTATAACCATAATGATGAAAATAAAGTTATAATGTTTAATGGATACCCGCTCATCATCCTAAATAGACATTATTACCCGTATCAGACATCTGAGCTGGTCATTTACAAAACCGTATTGCCCTAGTTTTCACTAGCATTGGGACCGGAGGGGTATATTCTTTGTATTTTCCTTGGTCTCCCTGCGCGTATTGACTTTGCGTGTAGAGAGACGAGTGAAAATATACCTTGGTATTTTCCACGGTCTCGCATCCGGCCGGCCGGGCATCTTGTATTGACTGCGCCGTATTTTGTCATTTTCATTGCGCATCTATTATGCGTACGAGAACCTGCGCACTTTGCGCGCACTCTATTGTGACGTAATAATTACACCAAATGCACACAGTTTGCACTGTATCGAAAATTGTGTCAAGCACTGGATGCACAGTGCTGGTTTGACAAAGTTTGTTCAGTTCTTGAGATTGTCATGGTGGATGTCTGTATTTGCTCTAGATGTCTGATTTGGATAACAATAAAAAAATATTGACTGGCTTTACTTTCGGGGGGATATCAGAAATATTGACCGCGCTAAGACCATATTGCCCTCGTCTTTCGACTCGGGGCAATATGATCTGAGCTTGGTCAATATTTCTGATATACCCCTCAAGGCCAGTCAATATTATATAAATATCCTTATTAATATAGATATCGGATTACTTAGGTCAGGTTTAATATACTCTGATATCTACCACTATTCCTAATACTTGAAAAAAATACTTAAACCTCCAAAAACGAACAAAGAGGCTGTTCACAGCGCCATGAGATAGCGCGGTCTGTCGTAGCACCCCTTTTTTCTAGCGCGCGCTAGACCGCGCTATCTCTCGTGGACCACCCCCAAGAGGCTGTTCACACCGCAATGAGATAGCGCGGTCTATCGTAGCACCCCCTTTTTTCTAGCGCGCGCAAGACCGCGCTATCTCTCGTGGACCACCCCCAAGAGGTGCTCCAGTGGCACGCCGTTTTGGCTCGCCGTGGCTCGCTGTTGGGCGGACCGAAACGACGTTGTACCTTCCAAACCGCAGGGATAGCGCGGTCTAGCGCGCGCTATCTCTGCCGGTTCACCGGCAGAGATAGCGCGCGCTAGACCGCGCTATCTGGACCACTGGAGCACCTATTGGAGGTGGTCCACGAGAGAGAGCGCGGTCTAGCGCGCCCTAGAAAAAAGGGGGTGCTACGATAGACCGCGCTATCTCATTGCGGTGTGAACAGCCTCAGAGGTGCTCCAGTGGCACGCCGTTTTTGGCTCGCCGTGGCTCGCTGTTGGGCGGACCGAAACGACGTTGTACCTCCCAAACCGCAGAGATAGCGCGGTCTAGCGCGTGCTATCTCTGCTGGTGTGAACAGCCTCAAAGAAGTTTAAGTCCGAAGATTTACTGAGCGGAATATATCTCAACTAATCGAAAACTTAGAATCCGCAAATTGGGAAGATGTTTTATTGTGCAATAATACAGATGATGCATATTGCTTATATTGGACAAAATTTGAATCGTACTTTAATACATGTCTCTCAAAGCTTAATAATAGAGGTAGATATAAACAACCTATTAACCCATGGGTTACGAAGGGAATTCTCACATCCATAAGTATCTTATCACCTCAAGTTCATATTTTTAATCTTTCGCTGTCTTCTGGTGTTGTTCCAGCCTCTTTTAAGACGGCTAAAGTCATACCAATCTATAAAAAAGATGACCCCTCTTCTATGTTGAACTATCGACCAATATCCATATTACCAAGTTTGTCTAAAATCCTTGAAAGAATGGTTTACAACAGATTATATAAATTTTTAACTCAAAACGACTCGCTGAACCCAGATCAGTTTGGTTTCAGGAAGTTCCATTCAACTGATTTAGCACTACTCCAACTATTTGATAGAGTACCAAATGCCTTGGCTGATCATAAACATGTCATAGGCATATTCATGGATCTCAGCAATGCATTTGATACTCTTGATCATACTATATTATTGTATAAATTAAAGCATTACGGTGTACGAGGTAAAGCACTTGATTGGTTCGAAAATTGCTTGTCATCAAGAAAACAATATACTTTATTCAATTCAGTTTCTTCTAACGTATCATCTATTATATGTGGAGTTCCGCAAGGCTCCATACTTGGGCCACTATTGTTTTTTATATATGTCAATGATATTTCTAATGTTTCACCAATTCTACAGTATATATTGTTTGCCGATGATACAAATGTATTGTATTCACATACTGATTTAAATTTCCTGATCTCAACCATGAACTAGTTATGAACCTAAGTTATCGAAATGGTTCAAAAGCAACAAATTATCATTGAACCTAAAGAAGACCAATTTTATTCATTTTAGAAACTCAAGAAATCACAATATTTATAATTTTGAGCTACTTGTCGATAATGTTCCAATAATGTTCCTAAATGTATATATGAATGTAAAATGTAACTGGAATGATCATGTGAACTATATCTCTACCCCTATTTCTCGCAATATTGGTATACTATTTAAGCTAAAATATTTGTTGCCAACACATGTGCTTAGTATGCTATATAATACACTGGTTTTACCATGTATTTCTTATTGTAATATCATATGGGCTACTCATAAGTGCAATACTAATCGTATATTTATGTTACAGAAAAAAGCAATTCGAGTTTGTACCGATGCAGGTTATCGCGACCACACTGACCCTTTATTTGCCACATTAAAAACTCTAAAAATAAGTGATATACACTACATGCAAAAATCTCTTTTCATGTTTTGGCTCAAATCCGGCATTCTTCTCCTATCACTAGTCATTTTATTCCAAAATAATTTTAATTTTCATTCCTACCCAACCAGGCATTCCAATGACTATCACCTATTTAACGCCAAAACAGCCTTAGCTCAAAACTCAATTAGACATTCTGGCCCTGATACCTCGAATGCACTACCCCCTGAAATAAAAACGATGAATATAATGCTATCCTTTAAAAGAGCGGTGAAAAGGTTTCTTATTGCTCATTATCTTTAAAGGGACTTTGTAACATTGTTCAGATGAGAGATAGTGGTGCTAAGGTAGTGACTTCAATGCTAGATGTACAATTAAAGATAATTTGAAAATTTGAGTGAAAACGGATCGTTATTCATGGTACAAATTGGGAAAAACTGATCTGATCGATTCCTTAATTCTCCCAACTATATTATTCTACTTCTATTCTGCTACTTGTCAAAGCCTGTTCAGCATCAAGACAAGGACAATTAAATTACATTTTAGGTGAATGTAAATCGTCACAAAGCAATAAAATGGCTCTACATTCCATTCCAGACATTTAAGTGTTGACAGATTTTTATAGCCTGTTTTAAGTTTTTTTCTCATGGAAAAACGGTTGGGAAAATTAAAAAATGGTTGGGAGAATTTACTGTTAATCACTGTTAGAGGGTGCCTCACATCGACGCCTTCAAAGAAAACCATAGATATCTTTGTGGTTTGAGAATTTGTTTAGGATTTTTTTGCATGTCAGAGGGTTAGTATAGTAGAAGGAATATAGTAAGTAACATTTTATACAAAAATTAAGCAATTTTTTTCATCAACCTTCAACAATGTTACCGAGTCACTTTAAATCCACCAACAAAATAAGTTCTCCTCGTTTACCCGTCGTTACAAAACTCAATAATTTTCAGTACTCTGTACTTTTTTTTTGCTTCCATTCATTGAAACATTAATTATAACCTTCCATGACCTGGTATGAATAAACGTATGAATAAACGTATGAATAAAGAGTGGCCTACTTGGGATACTGAATAAACACTGTCTTCTATACAAACATTTCAAGGCTCCGACTCACAGGCCCAGGTTTAAAACCAGCTGGCTGATCTTACATTCACATTCATATTGTCCGAATCTCGCGAGTCTTCTCATTCTATTATATCCCAAGTTGGCCACTCACTATTCAAATTTGCATTTTCTTTTTTGACATCCAACTACCACATAAGTCTGTGAATATTGATGTGCATCCCCTCTTTCTTTTTTCTTCTTCTTTTTTCTGTCTTTTTCCCCTTTACCAATATTTTGTTACTCCATATTTGTATTATTATGCATCCTTTGAGGGTAGTCATACTATCAAGCTTTGCTTACTTTGTCAACCCTCCTGTTTGATGTTTTCGATTAGTTACAGCCAGCCTTACTTTATTCTACATATATTCTTTTGTCATGTGTAAATTTGCAATATTTGTTTGTTATACATTTGTAAAAATGCAAAAGAAAAAATCAAATCGAAATTATAAGATGAATTATCCTAGGGACGCTGTTAAATAACACTGAATGAGTGAAAAGAGAGAGATGGAGAGAGACAAGAAGAGATAGTGAGAGAGAGAAAGTGCGATGACAAAATGACAGAGAGAAAGAAAGTTTCAAAAAGATCTATATTCAATATATAAGGGACTTTTAGATTGAGTGGACGAGAACGGCGTGAACGTCCACTGATCATGCGTGTCTACGGCAAACCGTTTTAACATTCATTCCTATTTCTTGATAACAAGAATTCAATTCTTGATATCAAGAACTACCATTGCTTTACAACAGAAAATCATTTCATGATATCAAGAATTACCATTGC